AAAGGCCATTGTAAAAAGAAAATCAGGACGTTGGTCGTCTGTTTAAGGGGCTTTCTGCAATAGGCTGCTCTTCTAAAAAGTTAAAATGCATCGAAGTTTTAGATGACTTTCTTTTTTCTTTTTTTTTCCCCTGTATTTCCTTTAAAATACCGCGAAGCATTGAAGCCAAGTTAAAATGCTGTGTGCATGACTTGTTCTGTGCAAGCCCTCTTCTTCAGCCCAGCTAGGCAAAAAGTTCAGGGCGAAGTACTTGCTTGAAGCTTGCTTGCATCTGCCCTTGCTCTGATGGGAAGAGTATTGCCAAGATGCTTGAATGTGTGATCTTTTTAGAGAGCTAAAAGAGAAAGAGGCAGCATGGGTTCTACAATGTCAAGTGGGAAAGCTTATCTTGCAGTGGCAATGGATGATGCTTTAGTCTTGCACCTTTTGCCATTAAAAAAAAAAAAAAGTAGTATGGTCTTATCCTGCACTTCAGAGCCTTGAGTGTGAACTGGGGCTTCTCTGTGCAGGGTGCAAGCGTGGCATTTGCAAACATAAAACAGTGTCAGCGTTTCACAAGCGAAATAATAAGCTGTGTTAGAGATCTCAGAAGAATACTATGGACTTTGGAAAGTGGGATAAGGGATAGGAAGAGGAGAGTAAGTGACTTTTATTTGGAATCTTCTTTTACTGTTTTTGGAATTGACTTTTTCTTATCCTAAACCACACCCCAATAATACTTAAGAGCTGAGGTTAGAGAGTAGGGTAGTGTTAAGGGAAAATAAGTGGGTGGGGGTTGGCGAAAGACGAGGCAAGCGCTTCTAGAATAATTCAGAATATTTTATTACAGCCTGAGTAATGGCTTCAAGTATGTGATGTTTCACTTAGTTACAGCGTTAAAAAGACAAAGCTGTCCTGATTTTTGACCCAGGGTTCGTAGCACTTGGGATGCTGTCTGTCAGCTAGAGTGTCTAATAGCACCAAAGTGTTTATACTGTCTCAGGCAGGCACTAGTTAAGCTTTTTTTTTTTTTTTTTAATCTGAAATACCTTTATAGATAGATATATAAATATCTTTATTTTTAAACCAAATATTAACTCAGCAGGGTGCACAATTGACCTTTGAAGAAATTATTTAACTATAATACAGAAATGGGTGCTGTAACATGATTTTGGAAATTCACTCACAACTATGGTTATGACTTCAAGTTAATTAAATGATTCATGACCCTTTTTATAGAATAAGGGTATTTGCCTTAGTAGAAGCGTATCAAATTGCATTTGATTATTTTGTTACCTCAGCTGAGCATAATGTTTATCTCCTATATTACTGTAAGCAGTGACTGGAGATAGTAGGAGCTAATGTTTTGTTGGGGCTTATTTCGGTAAATCCCCTCAAATGAAAGATACAGCTTTTCATGTCAGCTTCAGCATGGGGAACTCCTGGCATCTTTTATGTTGAAAGAGATGCTGGACTTTATTTGAAACTTGGAATTAAACTCAGTGAAATTGCTGTTCTGTCTCTCCCTTAAAAATTAAAAGACTTGGGTATCTGCATCTGATAAAGTTGAATGGTTTCAGATTACTGTCTGTTAGTGGGCATTTGTGTAAGTTTCTTATTGTACCTGCCCATCAACTGTGCAGCAGACTAAGGCATTGCTTTTACAAAAGAAATATTATTTCCCTTTCTACGAGGTGGCCAGAGTTTTCAAAATGTAGTGCTATCTTTCTAACAGATTGGAGCCCCCACACCTACCTGCCTTGTTGAGATGGTTTCTTCCCATGGTGGAGCACCTCTTGTATCTGTCCTCAGAGCTGAGGGTGTTGAAATAAGCTTGACCAATTCCTTCTAGATTTATATGCTGAAAGTAACCAAACAAAGCACATTCCCTTTAAACTTACCCTTCCAAACACAGATTTAAGATGAAAGCTCTCCTTTTTTTTTTTTTTTTCCAGTAGTAAGGAAGGCTGGATTATAAAGATAGTATATGGGAAGGGAAGGAAGGAAAACATGCTCATGTTCTGTGCTTCCAGGAGAGTAGCACTTAGCCTCCTAATGTTGCTCTTCCAAGTTTTGTAAACAAGAAATGCAAACATCCTTAATACTGACCTTGGTTTTGGTCTTAAAGTTACTTAATGTTATGGCTCTATGTAAGTGGTCTTAACTTCTCAGTGTACTTTTCAAACAAATATAAAGAGAAGTATACCCTTAAAACTGGAAGTGATTTATACACACTAGGTAATAAGCAGAATAAGCAGAGAATGAGCAAAATATTTTTGTTTTCGTGATGTTCTAGAAGGTTAAAAAGCATAGAAATGTGTATGTAACTGTTGTTTGGAAAGTATGGCACTCAAAGTTCACTTATTTGAGTTGAAATTGAGTGATGTGGTAACCCTTAAATGATGAAGCAAAAGAAATTAATGTCAAATTAAAACAATGTCAGTTCTGCTTCTGGGGCAGAAGTGGGACCAGATAATGGAAGGAGAAGACAAGGCTCCTAGAATTATAACAGTAAAAATAAGCCTCCTCCAGCTCCTAAGTTCATTTTCAAAAGCAGTAATAAATGTTAATGGAGTTAGCAAAAAATGTATATATATTGAGTCTGGGGTTCTCTGAACAAGATGCTGAAAGGTGAAGCCCTTTGATCCGGCTCTGTGACACATCGTTTCTTTGTGGATACCCTTCTCTTTGTGGGTTTTTCTTCATCTTTTCATTTTCGGACTACGAAGACTAAAGAGCTCGGCCTTTTTTTTTGTTTTAAATTTGTCGGCAAGGAAGAAAGAAGATTAAAGGAGAAATGTCTTTTTGTTTTTCCACTTGTTTGCACTGTGTGCCGATTGAACAATAGTTGCACTAGCTGCTAATTTTAAATTTTCCTCTCTCCTACTTGAATTGTACAGCGCGAAGTGTGCTTCAAGTAAAAAGTATGGGTCATGAAGACAAGTTAGGGACAGCATTTTCAATAGCACCGTATTGTTAAGGATTGGCTGGTTAGTGTGAATAACTGATTTATCTATATTTAGAAATTGCTAATGGGTTTCTATGTATGTATTTATATAAAACTACAAGTCTGGTATAACTTTTTTTTTTTTTTTCCCCACTCCCCTGTTCCCAGAGTTGGTTCCTTCAATTATGAGTAACATGCTGAATCCGGATGCTATTTTTTCAAACAATGAAATGAGCCTGTCAGACATTGAAATTTATGGTTTTGATTACGACTACACATTGGTCTTTTATTCTAAACATCTGCACACACTGATCTTCAATGCTGCTCGAGATCTTCTTATTAATGAGCATCGGGTAAGTTAAATCAATGGAATAACAATAAACTTATGAATAAAGAGTATAATAAATGTTTTCTAGCTGAGAGGGGCATAACTCATCTTTTCATGCCTCGGTCCTAGCTTGGCTCCCTTGTAACATGTTTTGTACAACAGCTACATATGAACCACGGAAGTCCTGGTTTATTCTCAGCTGTAGTTTTGAGCAGAGCACAGTCTGGCAACTGTTAAGGAATAGAGCTAAAAAACTCAAAATAGTTTTATTTGTTTTATTTTTTTTTATTTGGTGGTGGCTGGGTGTTTTGTGTGGTTTTTTTTTTGTTTTTTTTTTTTTCCCCCTGATTGTCAATTATTTGAGTCACTCTGATAAAGCTGAGAAGTTATCGTTACTCTGTGGTATGCACTGCTGTGAGTGCAGTGGTTAATTTCCACATGGAATATTTTCAGCCTGACTTCTTAGGAGGTTTTTGATTGCACTGCGTGCTTGTGAGGCGCTTTGTCTGCACCAGTATTTCTGCTGAGTTAGCTGAAGGGGCAGCGCATGCAGTGACACTGTAATCAGAGGCTGGATGCAAGAGAGACCCAAGTAAGTGTTCAGCTCAGTAGTCCCTTGAGGGAGCGCTGCCCTGTTGCCTCACCAAGCAACGTGTTTGCCTTGGTGACCAGTCGACATTCAGGCAGCTTGGAGCTGGTTGTTGTGTAGTTTGAGGATGGGAGAAATTACTGTGTTTCAGAAAGCTGGGGGGAGATGGGTGACTTGGGAAACTGAAGGTATTGTGGCGAAAGAGATTGGAGAAAATGTGGACTGAAAGAGGCTAAGTTTGTTGAACTGTGGGACTTGCAGGAAAATAAGAGACAAAAAGTCCACAGAGTAACTTTATTAATAAAACTGCTTGTGTATTTTATGCAATCTAAAACTGAATGGGTGGTGTTATTCTACTTTCATATTTGAATCTAAAGGTTAGGAGCTATATATAAGCATCTATAAATATCCCTGGAAGAACAAACAAAACTTCATGGACGCTACAAGCATACACAATTTGATCCCTCTAAGATTTTGGCATGTATTAGTAGCAATTTCTGTAGAATGTGTAAACACACTGTAATAAAAACTACCTGGTTCTTGCAAAAATCAACATTACTATAGGAGTCAAGATTAATTCTTGTAGACAATAATTAAAATGGTTCGGTATTTACCATTTGAATTAATTCAGGCAGTAATAACTTTCCAGTTTGTCTTGATCAAAATATCTTAAGTTCTAGTAAATGAAGCTGTAATTACTTTTTGAGACAACTTACTGAAATATATCCTCTCCTGTTAGAATTTACAGGGGGACAATAGTTTTTATTAATGCTGTCTCTGTAGCTGCTTATACTGTTAATGTGTTTCTTGCCTTTACCGTTAGAAAAGGGCTCTAGATAGTATTGCCTGTTATCACTGTCATAATCCACCTAAAAGGTGGCCAATTTTGGTCATGACAGTGTAAAGTAATTCATCAGAAATTGCAAAATACAGTGTAGGAAGCCAGGACTTTTGAAGTATGTCCAAGAGAATAAACATCAATTTAATGCTAATCTTGGAGGTGGCAGCAGGTGTTGAATGTAAACTCTTGGTCTTGGGTTTATTTCTCTCCTAATGTGTGAGCCTTGCACCATCTTATCTGGACTGCTCTTTCAGTCCGGATACAGCTATCCCTACCAAGAGAGAGGTGAGCAAACAATGCAATTTTTATCATTATTTTGTTTGGCTTGTAAGGAAGCTTTGATTTGTGTGCCAAGATAGGCTCAATCTTTTTCTGATACTTATTGGCATACACTCAAAAAGACAGCCTTCTAGTTGAATAAATTAAAGTAGGAAAGTCAAGCATGCAGAAATTTGAAAAAGTCAGAAATAAATTTCTGTCTTCATGCTTGATGTGGCTGCTTTGAGGCATGTGCAGTATACTGTAGTTTTTAATTAATCACATTCTGTATCATCATCTGATTTTTTTCCTTGTCTCCTTTTCTGCTTCGTGTTCCCTGGCCAAATCTATGCATCTTCCCAATGCATCTGTAGGCTTTTGATGCTGTTCTTCATTCAGATCAGTAGCCTCCCCTGTGTTTTCTGGAAGTGGTGGTAGGGACGATAGTTCAGAAGTTAGGAGAAAGGACTATTTTCTTTGACTGTAGATGCCTGTGCTCAATACAAGCACAATCTACAGCAGTTGGAGAGCAAGTCCTCTTCAGCGTAGATAAAAAATTTGCAATTTATTTATTTTTTCTAAGAGTACCTAGAGCCTCTCTTGAAGTTGTATAATCTGCTTTTTTCCCCAAAGGCTTCTAAGTGAGCCATGTATGTATGGAGGCTGTTCCTGAGAAGGTGGAGAATGTGCCCGAGATGCATTTGTCAAGTTCTAAGACTGCTGTAACCTGTGGGAGGGAGATGAAAGATCACCTTTCAATTGGTTGATCAAAGAAATTATAGTTTTCTCAGGCCTTGTTAGAAATGACTGAAGCATTTTGCCTTTTAAAAAACAAATGAACATAAACCAAGGCATACGCCCAACGTGTTGTTTTTTTCTTTCCATGGCTAGCCTATACTTGAAACAGGACAAAATTACAATCAACTGAAAATGGGCTTGTACAGAAAAACATTAGAAAACTCTGTAATAGATGGTGTGGGCTATCCATGCTATCTATAAACAACCTGAGGAAATAACACAGACATGTGCATCTCTAAACAACAAGGTGTTACAAATGCTTTCTGGGGTAAATGGGGTTGCATAACTGAGGTGTCCCCCTGAAGTGACTCACCCTGCCGGTGTTTAATGCCCAACTTGCTTTTGGACAACACACTGTACCTTGGGGAAAGTCCCTGTTAGGGGAGCCTGGCTTCCCCAGGTAACATTAGCTGTTGTGAATTCTCTTCTTCCTTCCTTCCCATCAGTGTTTATTTTCAGTGGCTGTATCTTTAAAGAGCTCTGGGGTCTGCATTTCAAACACGATGATCTAGGATCAGGGGTATGATCCACACTTAGGGCATCAAAACAGATAGCTGTCTTCTATCTTGAAAAAAAAGTTTGTTTTTTTTTTCCCCTGTTAATCTTGATGATATTGTATTGATTTCTCTTTCAATAGATGTGAGCGGTAAAGTTCAGGTATCTCTGTAAATCAGGCCAAGTTCTTGGGTTTCTAGCTAGAAGGTTGAGTTGGAAACTGTATAGTCCGTTTCTTGGTGACACTTCACAATGCAAGGTAATTCAACTATTAAATTTTAGGAAGTTAATAAAATTTAGATTGTTTTCAAAGGTGCGTATGTTAAATAACTTTTTGAACAAGAGGCTAATGTTCAAAGGTGGTCACTACCGAGTACCTGGATGTCCAACTTTAGGTACTGTGCTTGATTTAGAATTAAAATACTGACCTTGGATTTTGGAAAAAATGTTTGACTTGTCTTACACTGTACATATGTTCCTGCAAATCTCACCAACCGATCAAAAAGCCTCTTTTAATGAGTAGTGAAGATGAGAAGCATAGAAAACATAGGCTTTTAAAATTCTGCAGAAAAAGTTTTTTATTGCTTCTTGTTATGGATTTAAAATCAAATCATTGCCATCTTTTCTTAGTATCCTGCAGAAATAAGAAAATATGATTATGATCCCAATTTTGCCATCAGAGGACTTCATTATGATGTGCACCGGGTATGTATAAATAACTTTGTGATGAGTTATGTAGTGCTGAGAATCTAGCCAAAGAAAATAAATAGGGCTTTTAAGTCTTCCAACTTTTCATTCTGCATTGGTGTGTAAGGATTTAGTTTCATATTTTTCTCTTTCATGGCAAGCTTAACCTTTTATTTATTTATTTATTTATATATATTTTTTTTAAATAACCTACGTATAAAGTGTTTTGTTCTCATGGTGGGTGGGGGGAGGGAGAGAGACAACTTAAAGTACAACAGAATGAACCGAAGCAGGCGTCTGCTAGTAAAAGATATTTCTTCATGACCGAGCTCAGGTAACTTGACAGTGTTTCCTTGGTGACTTGGCAAGCCCTAGGTAAAAGCCATTGAGAAAATATTTTGGAAGCTGTGAAGGAAGTTGAAGTGAAGGTGCTCAGGCATTCTTGAGATGGAAAGATTATAGATAAAGTTGCTTGGATTTTTATAACTTCATGTCAAATAGCTGACGTGACAAAAACTGGTGTGCTTTTTTTTCCTCTGCAAGGCACTATTAATGAAGATTGATGCTTTTCACTATATTCAGCTGGGAACAGTTTACAGGTAGGTAAATAATTTCCTATTTATAATAAAAATGTATACTCTTGTTTTTTGAAACTCTTAATTGCATTTGTTAGTGTACGTCTTAAGTTCCTATCAGGAGCAGTGCACTGAAAGCACAGGCATGAATGAATATAGCAGTCCTACTGGAGGGGGGTTTCCTTGCACTTCCGTGTGTATGCACAGACACGAGCACGTGTTTACTGACTGATACAGTACAGCTGATTCCCCCGTTCAGAGCTAGCGAAGCTGGCAAGCCGGTTGGTCACATAGTGCTGACTCACTTTGTTTCCGGCTGTTAAATTGTGCTGAAAGACATCTAAAAATATGCTGATGACTTCCCCACTGTTGCTTTCTACGTAAATAATTGTCACAGAGTGCCCGTTAGCATGACTTTAGTGTGGGTGCAGAGACACTTGAGAGGTCCTACTGTACTTGCACAGACCTTTTAAGTTTGGACGTATCATTCTGCAAGTATGATGTGCTTGGAGCACAACTGCTTTGTGTCCACACAGCCTGACACTTTTTCAGTTGACTGGATTGATGTAAAATTGGTGATCTCTATGCCGTGCTTTGTTACATGGTATAGACTTACTGTATGTGATCTTTGACAGGAGAATTTTTAGCATGGCTCAGTTTGCTGTAATTAAGCAGTACGCATTTGACTGACATGAGCACCACACTTGGTACCAGATTTTAAATTAAACTACAAGCCTGAGCACCTTTCTTAATGTCATTGTACAAAAAGTTTTCTTTTGGGGCCAATAGATTATGCAACCTTGAGGTGGTTTACTCTGTGGGGGCCATCATGGAACTGTGTGTTCTAGTATGAAATGATGGTAATGCTCTCATTACTTTTTTTTGTTTGCCAGTTGGGCAGATAGGTAGATGATTAAGCCTTAGGTCATTGATCTGTTCTTTTATGACTTAGTCTGAGATCCCCTTTGGGAGAGGAAGGGAAGAAAAGTGAAAGAGGAAACAAGATGGCAGGGGTCCAGCATTAGGCTCATGCTGTCAACATAGTGGCTGTCTAAATCTGCCAAAACAATGTGTGCTCTGTATGTATCATCAGAATCCAAGTGAAACATCATACCATTTATTTGTGTGTTTTGTACATGCTGATATAGAAGTAATTATCATATATTTCAACTGATAAAATCTGTTTCGGTGTTTTTTGAAGCAATAATTTGTGCAGAGTGAAGGTTGCTAGTTGTAAGATTAATTTAAAAAGGCTGTCGCATTTTTACATTTTTCACTGTGAAAAATGCTAGTTTGCTAAATTAAAGGCTAGGTGAAGTAGTCAAAGATACATTTATCTATGTAGGCATGTAGTAGAAGTATTAGGATTGATATGAATGAGGTATGAACGGAAATGTCTATGTGTGAGAACACCAGAAGAGATGTTGATAGAAGGGACAAAAGGATGGCACGTGTTGGTGGTACCTTGGATCAGCTAGTTATCAAGACGTCATCATATCTGCGTGTTTTTTCTCCAAACACCTGTATGCGGTGGGGAGAGCAAAAAAAGAGGCTGAAGGCTTTGAGAGAAGATGTCAAGAAGAGCAGTGTTATGACTGGAACTGTATAGTGACCTAGAGGAGAAGACGAATGGGTGGTGAGTCCATCAACAGCGTTGCCTTGTGACTCAGAATGGGATAGAATGAAGAGGCAGAAGATCACAGCTGCCATCAGCCTCTAGTACAAAAGGCACTTCTGAAGCCAGCACATGATGACCAATCAAGAAAACTTTAGAGAGGTGTTGAGATTTGTTGAAGAGCTGGTGTCCCTCGTCCTCCGTGTCACCCGAAGTAATTCTGGACAGACTGCTAGGCCACGTCTTAGTACTGGTGAGAGTGTGTGAGGGAGAGGGTCAAAGCTACCATTTCACTCTATACTTTATCTTAATTTTGTTTAAAATAAGATTACCTTTCTCTGCATACCAACACTGAGCTTTGTTGTCAGTTGCTGCATATCTGCATATCTGTCGTTCTTAGTTTTAACCTTCCATGTGCTCTGTGTGTAGTACAGAGCGTGTGTGGGACGATTATGCCACTGAAAGTAGCAGGACTTGCCCAAGTGTGCAGCCTCATTTGCACTGAGAGGTGTGAGCATTTCTGATGTCCCTCTGACAGTGCACATCTCCAAGAGCAGCAATGGGAGCACTGCTGTGGGTGAACTGTGATGCTTTTGGTGCTGTCTGTCCATGCTGTGGGTGGAATAAAATAAACTTTGTAGTTATGCGGCTGGACTGTGAACTGTGTCAAGACTACGGGGTCTTTTGGTAAAACTAATCTACAGCTTTGTCTACACAGTTGTCTCTCCTCTCTAGATTTCATGTATGTCTATTGTCCTCTCTTGATTTGTGCTTTAGTAGCTCCTGATCTACAAGCATTTTTTTTAGCAGTATTCAGATACCACTTGGCATAGCTGTCTGCAGACCAGTCAGTCCTTAATTCTGATTGTATTGCTTGCGTTTAACGTTTTAGTTGCATTTCTTTGCATTTCCTGCTGTGGAGTGGGTGATGCTGAACTCTGTATGTTACAAACTAAATTATTATTTGCCCTGTTGGTGCACAGTTCTGACATGAATGCTGGAGTCCTACCAGCAGTAGCACAGGGCTATTTACAAGTCGATGTAGCACTGAGAAGTGCATTAAAGGAACTAGTTAACCTGGGACTTTACCACAGCAGCCCTGAGGAAGTTAATGTATCATGCTAAACACATAGTACTAAGCTTATTAATTATTTTTTTAATCCCTGACAACACTTCTGGGTAAGACCAAGAAAGGGAGGCACTGAAATAACCGTCTGTTTTACAAGGCTGCAAAACACCGTAAGTAGGCTTGGGAAAAAGGGACCAGATGATTTGTGTTCTTTAATCTTAAGCAAAACCTCAACTCTTTTGTGTCCTCTTCTGAGGATGTTTGGATGCCTGCATGTTTTAGATGCTTTAGTGCAAGATGCTTGATACTGTAAACGTTCAAAACCAAACCACAGCCTTTAATCTCTTAATAGGTGATGTAGAAACTCTGTCGAGAGATGATGTCTCCTTCTTCCCCATTTGTTGTTTTATTTTTATATTTTAATTACTTGACAACAATCCTTCAAGTAATCTTAAATTTTGGGAAACTGGACTGTTGATACAGTTTAAAACAAATTCTTATTTAGTTAAAGATTGTGTATGTTTTTCTTTCCCTTGAATCTTCAAGGTCATGCTGCAGAATAACCTGGTTTAAACACTATCACATCATCAGTGCTGTGTGGAACAAAGGCAGAGTAAGGAATTACTTTGTGTTAAGAAACTAGAAGCTCTAACTACTTTTTACAAACCCTTGAGGCATAGTTTCAATGGAGACTAATTAGCTCTTTTCCCCTAAGAAAGTAAAAAGGACTTAAAATTGGAATGTTTTCTGTGTGCGTCAGCCTGTTAAAATGTTACTTGTTCTACAAGGAAAGATGCTGTATTAACTTACATACTAAAGTATTCCTATGATGTTTTTAGTATTTTAATAAGCTTCAGATCTAAGTGTTAATCTGTCAGACTTTCATTCGGTAATGACTTGAAAATTTTAATCTGACTTTTGAACTAAAGCTGATGTTGTTTTCCAGAGGCCTCACTGTTGTCCCAGATGAAGAAGTCATTGCAATGTATGATGGTTCCCATGTCCCTTTAGAACAAATGAGTGACTTTTATGGAAAGGTAAAACCACAAACTGTTCTTTAAAAAATGATTTTTTTTTTTTTTTGGGTAGGGGTAGTGGTATTTGCATTTTGTTCTTGTTCTTAGTAGCTGTTATATTTTCTCAATACGTGATTGACTTGCAGTGCTGGATGTGAAGTTTGCCCTCTGAAGTGACAAATTTTCTCTCTTCCTCTTGTAGTTTCTTCTTTCACTGTTCCTTTGCCCAGTCATATGGACAGAGAAGCAGAACATTGAAAAATCAAGTAACTTGCTCAGTGTTGCACAGCAAATCTGATAAAAGCTGGGAAGTGACCCATATCTAGTGCCTTACCCTGGCTACGTACTTACTTCTTCCCTGTGGTCTGATAGCTTGGCTGATGTAGCAGCAAGTAAATGTATCGAGGCATCTCTTGCATACAAGCTGGCAGAGTGACAGTAAAAGGATTTGACAAAAGATGAATGATAAAAGATAAAGCTTTTAAGTTTAGGATTTGACTGCATAGGGAAAGTTGTTCTTGCTGGTGGGTTCCTTCCTCTTTCACAAACAAAGAATAGTGCTGACTTTTTAGTAAAAAGCAGGTTTATTTTACCCCTTTTACTTATGGATGTTAGTTCTATGTTGGTGTGAAAGGCCCTTCTTTGTGTTGAGGAGCATTTTGTTGTTCTTATTTTAAGGAGCTGAACCTAGGATTCCAAATCTGGTCTCTGCAGCAGTTCTGAGTATCGCCCTGGCATTCCCTGTGGGGTGCCTTGGTCTCTGTGAGTCTGTGCTTTCTTTGATCTTGGAAAGGACAGTGACAGGACAAGAGGCCATGGGCACAAACTGAAACACAGGAAGTTTCCTCTGAACATCAGGAAATGCTTCCTTTTCTGTGAGGGTGACTGAGCACTGGCATGGGTTGGTTGCCCAGGAAGGAGTCTCCATCCTTGGAGATTCGTAAGCCATCTGGACAAGTTCCTAGTCAACTGGCTCTAGGTGGCCATGCTTGAGGGGGAGGGGGGGGTTGGACAAGGTGACCTCTAGAGGTCCCTTTGAACCTCAACCATTCTGTGTTTCTGTGATCTTGACCAGTGTGCTGTCTTGAGATGGTTGCTTTACCTCTCTTCTTCTTGAGAAGTATTTGGTTTGTATTTGCTCTTGTATAATGAGATTCTCTACTTTTGTGAAACTTTACTATGATTCTTTTTATAGTACTTTTCCTCTTGTTCCTTCACAAGTTATTGTAGATTCTTACAACCTTTAATTATCTCTTTTCAAGGAGGTAAATTGTTTTGCAGTGCTAATCAGTATTCCACTTTAAAAAAAAACCAAACAAAAACCAAACCCCAGACCTCCACCCCCCTATCACAATAACCAGTGTCTCTTATTTATAGAAGTGCAGACTTCCAGTGAAGGTGTCTTAAGTCCTTCTCTTGACTTTTGTCTGAACGCTGTCTTTTATGTGTTTATGAATTAAAATACTGCTCTTAAAATAGTAATGATTCATGATTAATTTTTAAAATAAAGCCAACACTTTTGTTGGAGTTATTTTATTGAAAGTCTATTAGTTCAAAAAGCATCTAAAGCAATGTTAACAGCGATGGCAAAAGCTGAATATCTGCAACTAACCTGAAGTGTTTATACTGAATTAATGAAAGTGTTCTAATCTGAGAAATGCTTGACCTCTTTCTTTTTTTTTTTCTTTTTTCTTCCCACCCCTGCAGAGTTCACAAGGAAATACAATGAAGCAATTCATGGATATATTTTCCTTGCCAGAAATGACACTCCTTTCTTGTGTGAATGAATATTTTCTGAAAAACAACATAGATTATGAGCCTGTTCATCTGTACAAAGATGTCAAGGTACTAGCTTTGAAGATTTAGGTAAACCTCTGCATTTGTGCGTCTTCTCTGGGAGCACTTCAGGAAGCTTCAACCTGTTGTGTCAGCTCCAGTGAAATACTCCAACTTTAGGTTTTGTATGGAGTACTTGTTGCTATACAACCATCAAAACAGAAGTAAAATGAAGGTAGACCTTGGAAAAGAAACATAGAATAATTTGAAAGTTTGTTTTAAATCTGATGCGCTAGGGCTGCTGTTCTTCCTGTAGGTTTGGGGGGTGGATAGGGTGAAAGTGAACAAGCTCTTATACATTGATAAAACTTTATTGGATTATTATTAAAGCTATAGTTTTCTCACTAGCAGGAATTGTAAGAGGCTATAGGGAATTCCAGTTAGGATCTTTCAGTTGTACCGACTCTGTGCCTTTGCTAGTATATGATCATTTGCTGTCTCTTGCTTTTGGCATATCTGTTTTGCCTGTTTTCCTCTCTTCCTCCTCCAAAACAATCTAGTAATAATGTCTAGAGTAATTTGACACTCTTGATTCCTCAGGATGTATCCTGCAGAGGAGGTAATTTTATGTCATGGTTATTTAAGAACAGAAGAGGTCATGTTCAAGTTGATGGTATTTGTCTGCTCAAGCATTCCATCCAAAACCTTTTCCTGGCCCCTTGTTGATATGTATAAAGCTTGTGTAGTTGTTCAGCATAGGTAATGCACCTGAATGTTGATTTTCTCACTTTCCCAAGTAGATCAGATAAGTTTTAAGAAACTTCTGACCTCCAGAGTACTTTTCCCTTCTGCCTATGGTTACATAGAGTCAGAAGGCTACTTCTTGTGGTTTCTGCTGAAGTGTTTATAGAAACTTCTGTACTGCTCAGTGTTACCAACATTTTGGAAGTCCTGTAGTGACATTTTTTGAGGATTTTTAGGACGTACGCCATGTAAGTACCAAAATGGCAGTGCCACTATCCGAAACAAATCAGTGTGGTGCAGAGCTGGCTCAGGAGATCTGCTGAATGCCTTCAGAGCTCCTTATGGGTACTTTGCTTAAGCGTTTAGCCTCTTTCATCTGTTCATAAATTTATTTTTCTTAAATACCAAGGGGATTTGGGAGTGAAATCTAAATCTAAAATCTATCTGATTTAAAGCTTCCCCTGTCAAGAATAAAGGAATGTGTTTTGCTCCAAAGGTCATTAGAAATCTGTGATGACTCTGCTTCTGCAGAGGGCTTTCACCCCACTTCACCCTAGCAAGCGCCCTTTCACAGCTGTTATGTAAAACAACCCCTGTGCTGTACAGTTTTGTACTTCCCACATGCACATAATGAACATTGCATGGTATTTCTGCAAAGTTGAATGTGTAATTCAGAGAAAGGAATGGTTTTAAAAACAAATTACTACTGCTATGCAGTCAGCGCAGTTTTCACACTTGAGAAGATTTTTCAGTTCTTTAGTGTTCTCTTGCTTTCCTGACAGGATTCAATCAGGGATGTCCACATCAAAGGAATAATGTACAGAGCAATTGAAGCAGATATTGGTAAGTACTAAAAAGATCATCTGTCAAAGCTTTTTTCACTGATAGTATAATGATCTTTCTGGCTGCCTTATTTAAGATTACAAATTCTAAATTTTAAAGCTTGAAAGAGTGATTTGCACATATCTAAAGGGCCTTTGTTAAGTATAACCTCATGTTCTGAACCAACCCTTGATAGAATGCAGAGAAAATTCTTGTGAAAAACTTTTTCAATTAATATTGTATTTTCCCCAATCCTTACAGAGAAATACATCTGCTATGCTGAACAAACTCGTGCCGTGTTAGCAAAGCTGGCTGATCATGGCAAGAAGATGTTTCTCATCACAAACAGTCCCAGCAGCTTTGTGTAAGTGAACAGTTCTTTGCTGTTCAACTGTACATTTTTAAAGGATGGGGAGGATGAGGTTCTTTAGTGTAATTCATTATATTGCACAGATAACTGCACTTCTGTTATGCTTCACTGTTAATATCCCGCTGTCCTTTTTTAGGGACAAAGGCATGAAGTTCATAGTTGGCAAGGACTGGAGGGATCTCTTTGATGTGGTCATTGTACAGGCTGATAAGCCAAACTTTTTCAATGATAAGCGAAGGTGGGTATTTAGTCAGTAAAAAATAATTCAAGCAGCTTATTCCATATAAGGTGTAGAGAGCACTTTATGAAATATTTTAATTTGGATGCAATGTGAACTAAAATAATATTTGATAAAATCCTATTTAAGGTCATTACAGAATGCAGCAACACCCAATTCTGAAGTCCAAATATTTACCATTTCTTACCTAAGAAAGTTCCAGTAGCTATTACAGGTCTACTAGACTGAGTTAGAGTCACAGGAGCTATTTTTAATAAGTTGATGACGTGTGTTCCTTTCCCAATAAACCTGAGAAATTTTGGTGCCTTCCAGAATCAGCCCCTTATCTGGAAATATCTTTCATTGCTTCTGGTTTTGTTTAGTCACACATGATATTTAAAGGGCAGACTGGCTGACAGACTGGAGTATTTGGACTAGTTGTTCAATTAAAAAAACACATTTGCAATGCGTATGCACTGCTCTCTTGAAAAAGACCTATTCCTTTATGTGTACTTAGGATTTCGAAGTGCGATAGAGGGAGGTGGAATGTTTATTCTTTTACTTTTTTTCATTTCAATTTAAAAATAACTTTGCTGTACCTCTTTTCCCCAGTCCTCTGCCCCCCTTTTCAGTTGTTCAGTTGTACAAAATGAGATGTTGGGCAAGATTTTTACACATCTTCACTTTTGTCTTCTCTTCTTTCCTTCTTAATGGCAGACAGTTCACATGGTTTCTTCCCCTCTGTCTGGGATCTCTGCCTTCGTTCTCAACAGTTGTTATTAAACTCTGTTATAAATGTCAGGTTTAATGGATAGATACATTGCATTTCCAAGCTGAAGTTTTGGAGCTTTGCTTTTTCTGTATATTACAAAATGGTTAGATGCTAGAGAGCATGTTTTCCTTTTGAAAGATGAATATTTTTAATATTAAAATTTTACCCTCATCGAAAGTGACACAGTTTCTGCAGCAATGTAATGATTATATTAATTCTATTCTAGACCATTTCGGAAGGTGAATGAAAGGGGAGTGTTGCTTTGGGACAAAATTCACAAACTGCAGAAAGGTCAGATTTACAAACAGGTATGCTTTCAATAAACTCTTTCAGTTCAAATTTAATACCCATTTCCTAGAATCCCAAGCTGCTTTAGATATCGTAAAAGCTTCTAAAAAGTAGATACGTTTTTTAAGAGAATTATTTTAATGATTGAAATCATACAAATTCATTGTTGGTATTGTATGTCTGCAGTTTACTTGCCTCTTGAAGTGATAGTATTACTGAAATAACCTGTAAAATTTGGGATTCATAATATATAAACTGAGGACAGGAATCTTGATATGAAAATATTTTTAGGGATGTACTAAATTATTTTTTCATGCAAGTTGCATGCTGCTATGATGTACATGTCATTGTTTCCACAGGGTAACCTGTATGAATTTCTGAAGCTTACTGGCTGGAGGGGCTCTAAAGTTCTCTACTTTGGGGATCATATTTACAGTGACTTGGCAGTAAGTAGTTAACTTTCACAAAATAAGATAAAAGATGAGGCTTTTTGTTAGTTTTCCTCTTTCTTCCCAGTTATTCAATGTAACACACTTTCATTGGGTATTCTAAATACAACAAAATTGGAGTTGATAGTTAAGCCATATTGTTTTTCTTGCAGTGAAGGAAATTGGTGCTGTAAAAGGCTGACCATATTTTCCACCTGACTTGTAGCATTTAACTTGTTTACAAATGGTGCTCAGGAATGTGTGAGTTCGTATTCCTGAGCCAGATACTGATTGTGTCAGATGTAACAGAGAGTTCACACAGATATCCAAACGTACAGGATGTGGCTGATTTAGATGACATTTACTACTAAGTGTAATAAGAGCTGAATGAACTTCTGTTCTGAATGGCAGGAGACAATCTTCCTGTCGCTTTCTTTCTTCCTGAGATCTTGGTAAGGTTTGTAGCCCCACTATCCAGGCATTTTCTTACTACCTGACAAACAAATCTACTGTTAACTGTTACTTTAGAGTAAGTGACCACCACTTAACCTTTTTGTATTTGATTGTGTATTAATGCCTGGGTATGACTTCCCACTGCCAATCTGTGGTAACATGTTTCACCAGCAGATGATGTTAACATTTTTGTCCCAATCTGCTTTTAAAAAGAAAAGTCAGTTTGGTTTCTTCAGAAGGTTGAGGGCCAAAGGAAGGAGGATTCAGCTCTGTTCTCCACTGGCACAGTGGAGGAAAGAGCACAGGTGGCAGATGTCTCATCCTGTACTGGTCAGGAGGAGCTTGAGTAGCTGGGTGACCCAAAAGAACCCTTCTGTCAGCTGAGTGTGTAGGTAAATATCATGAAACCAACACACGGTTTCCTCCAGATACTTGTGACAGCAGCAGAGGTCTCATCTACAAGAGGAATTTCCTACTGTTTCTTTTAAACCTAATGAATTAGTGCTTATTTGCAAGTGCTTATGTGTTCTTTATCTCTCTCTCTCTTTAAAAATGTGGGATTTGAAGCTTAATTTCAATTTAAATTCTATTGCTTATTGGCACAGTTAAGTCCCAATGTTTAGTATTTCTGCTTATACATAAGAAGCAATTAAATTAGTGCCCCTTTGGGATAAACAGTGGTCAAATTCTTCATTTCTTTAAGTAGTTATTTCTAAGACTAATACATGTATTTTGTAATTCTTGGTAAATAGGATTTGACCCTGAAGCATGGCTGGCGCACTGGTGCAATTATTCCAGAGTTACGATCAGAGATTAAAATCATGAACACAGAGAAGTATATTCAAACCATGACCTGGCTGCAAACCTTGACAGGATTACTGGAACACATGCAGGTTTGTTTTGTGTGTGTGTGTAATCGGCTCTGCATAGCAGAAGGGATCCAGCTAAGTTTCTAAATGCTGGATGTTGATGTTGCAAGTGCTTTTTGTTTCATTAGAGTTCACCAGTTTGACTGTAGATAAATAAATGCAATTATTTGTGTGGCTAGCTAATAAGAGTTTTCCCAAAATCTTATCCCCTTCTTCCACTGGTCAGCGTGGATTGCTTCCTGCTTCTGGTTGCTTAAAATGTGTGTGGATCTCTTCTGTATACTAATCTCTGAAGCATGCTCTTGTGCTCTTAGCTAATAGGAGTTTATTAATGGGAAGACTAATTTACGAAGGCTTCCTTAGTTACCTGTCATCCATGCTTTACATTCCAGGTTCACCGTGATCCTGATTCACAGATGATTTTAGAAGAATGGAAGAAGGAAAGAAAGGAACTGAGGTAAGACACGGGAGAAGAATTTGCTTCATGGTAGCCAAGTGTTCTATGTGATGTCCACAGGTTTCTTCAGTATTTCTCTCCATCCCTGATCTATATTCCCTGGTAGTTAACACACCTTCTAAAATTATCTGCATAAAGCAATATTCTACCTGTCCTGGTACAGCTCTTCTTCCCTCTGACCCTTTCCCCTGTTCCCCTTACTTGGAACAGATGTTGGTTTTCTACCTGAAAGGGTAACACCAGATCAAATACTTTTCCTTCTCATCTTGGCTCTCACGTCCCTCTGTGTTCAGCTGTCACTATTGCCATTGATTGCAGAGCTTTACTTCTGCATGATTTAAAATGTGTTTCTGTATCAAGACTTACATAATTTCATAATTTTTTTAGATGATTTCTTCAGATTACACGTAATAGATTTTAGAATATGCAGAAACTGGGCTCTGCACTAGACTGGATTTGGCAGTGGACTCATCACAGAGATAGGTATAGGGCTAAAATTCCTAAAAATCTGCTGTCGTGAAGGAGCAGTCCCTAAATACAGGGTGTGTGAAGTGCACAGTTGGCAAGGCCAGCAGCTGTACCACCAGCAACTTTCCCCAGAAATACTGAAGTAAATGAAATTAGAAAGATACTTGGCAGTGACTAATAACAGAAGTTAATTCCAAGGTGTGTTTAGGCTTCTTGTGTACATTAAGCCAAATCTTTACTTTTTTTAAAAAGTCTTTTATCACTGGAACAGGTGGATGACATTAGGATTAAGATGAAGGCAAAAGTCTTCTTTCACAATCTCTAGAAAGGAAAGCTTGACATACATTTCTGAAGTCAGAAGCAACTTATCACTAGTTTTAGTGGGAGAAGTGTGAAGCTCTTCTGTTCGCTGCTATGATTGCTAGGACTGGGCGATATATGTGCAAGAGGTGCAAAAATTTCTTATGTGGTGCATTTGAGTGGTTTGAAGTGCAATGGCAAGAGGATAGTGCATAGGACAGATTACAGGAACTGCTTGCTTCAGGTTCTGGATGCCAGGTGGTAAAGAGGTATGTGCAGGTATGTTCACTTCATTCTCTTTGTTTTATTTTTTGGGGGCATAGGGAGATGAACAGGAATTTCTTCAACGCACAGTTTGGAAGCTTATTCAGAACTGATGAGAATCCAACTTATTTCCTAAGACGTCTCTCTAGATTTGCGGATATCTACATGGCATCGTTGAGTTGTCTCTTGAACTATGAGCCTGATTACACGTTTTATCCAAGAAGGACTCCTTTGCAGCATGAACTTCCTGGCTGGTCAGACCAACTGTGCACTGGTACATTCAGAATACCTTTCCTACAAGAGACAGTTCAGGTCAAATAAGCACTGGGCTTCTCTCCAAAATGGGCAATTTTTTTTTAATGTACATGTATTTTATTTAAGTCACTTAAATCTGTTATCTCCTTGTTTTAGATGTAATTCGTATTTGTTCTCATAAGTGTTGTACTTATTTTTCCCTCTCCTGCTCAGAGATGTGGAAACTCCTCTTACACATTGAAGAGATGATGGACTGCCAACATAGTAGTGGGCTGGGAGGGAGGGAAAATTGGAGGGGAAGGACTGGTGGTGTTCTGGGGTAGTTGTTTTTGTTTGTTCATTGGAAATTTTGATCTGCAGCCTTGTGGTTTACATGGAAATACTTATACTCTCTGTTCTGGCCTTGTTCAGCACTCCAGCTGGAGCCTGTAATGGATCTTGGCACTGAAAAGCTTAAATCCAGTATTAGTATTTCAGTGATAACACAGTAGCCAGTTTATGGTGGGACTGAGAGGAATGGTGCCTGCAGTTTAACTGTCCTTGCTGCTGTAGCTAGAGCCTTACCTGTGGCTGAACTCCCTGCTGTAGTGTTGGTGTGGCTCTGCTGCAGTGCGGTGGGTACAGCACAGGCAGGCTGGGGCTGAGGGGCTTTGTCTCCAGTCTGTCCAGTTTCTGTTCTTATAACAGCCAAGCACAGAAGTAGGTGGATCTGAGCCTAAAACTGAATGTGGCAGTAACTCGGGCTGCTTCAGTTTCCTTTTGTTAACTTTTAGGCACCTTTCTTTTTAAGTTTCATAACACTTTAAATATCCACTCTCTGATGATAAAGCCATTTCAAAGCTCTGGCATTTTGCATTTCAAAGTGGAGACAGAAGGCTTTAGACTGATCCTAAATGCTGCTTTTAAAAATTTTAAGTGTCTTACAGTGGTATGCAATGTGGTTTTGCTGTTCCCTAGGAGAGAATGTATTTCATATAGCCTTCAGTAATGGACTTTTGCAGTCAAAAGTAAACACGCACAATGGGCAAATGAGTTGAAAGAAAATTAAGAAATAAGAAAATGAAACCCAGAGTTTTCTGATTACATTTTTTTTTTTAGCTCAAGACATGAAAGTTGAATTGGGGGTGGTTGACAGTTTGCGTCAAGCAAAATAATTTTGGCGGTGCAGATTAGAAGTTTTATTGAATTACTGAAATTGCATGAACACAAACTCTGGGTAGCATATATGTTGCAAAGATTTGAGCTGAAAAATGTCTATTTTGCACAAGGAAAACATCTGTTGATGTGTTTCCTCAAACAGGCACTTTATAGAACTGCTGTATAGTTGTTTTTAAATAAGGATGCTTTCCTTTCTCTGCACCCAAAGGAAATGTTTTTTTCAACTGGTGCTTCCCACCCCAGCCATTTTAGAGGGCGTAATATGATTAATATTTTTCAAATTTTAGTTATTAAAGGCTCTGTTTTTAAAAGCATAGAATTAACAAATTATATAGCATTTGGTATTCTTCATTTTGGGATATCACTTGCTTCTTACCATGATTGTCAGGTAAACAAACTTTTGGTGACCAAAAGTTTTCTTGTTTGTTTTTCTTTTTTAACCTGTCTGTATTTTGTGCAAGTACCTATATTGCATTTCATATGCAGTATCTTTTATATTTTTAAAAGCATGTTTGCAAAGTAAGAATGTATTCTATTCTAGCCTGCACAATTTCATAAGTAGTTTTCCTGAAAGCTTGAAATCAGTCTGAAGTCCTCAGAGGTCGCTGTAGATTTTTTTTTTTTCATGTTCATAGTTTTCTTGTGGTCTTGTTTCAGACTTGACGTACAACTCTCCTGAAGTGTGTGTGCATGTATTTGAACAGATGAATATACTTGAAATGAGTAAATTCATCTGACAGTCCTGCTGTTTTGCTGGAAGAAAAATACAAAGTTTTGCAGGAAGTTACTTGGGCTTTATCAGGAGACTTGGTGGGGCTGTATGAGAAATACTTAGCATAACTTGATAATGAAGTGCGGGGATGGAAATATCCCTGATTAGCCTTCAGTTGTTTATCCTAATGCTCAGCTAGAACTGAACATTGGTGTTACATGTGTGTAGCACCTCTCATGCTCTAGAGATTTCAATGCACTGTTTAAAAAAACCCAAACAAACCCCAAAACCACTGTACATTCTCCATCTTACTACCAGCAAATAATAATATTGTGTTACTCAGTTCTGCATTATTGAATTTGTTAATGTTTTGTGAGTTATAACTCTGTGATGCTGCTTCTTTTAAAGCTGGCTAGGAGTCAGTTTGCCTAATTTTCCTGTGTTAAGCAGGAACAGTTTAATTGAGTTGGATGATGTTATCCACAGAATACACATTTTGTTTCAAGATGGTTTCCACCTCTCCCCCTTCCTGTCTCTTAACTTACAAATCAGAGTTCTGTACAAAGCTATGTTACAGCAGCCAGCTGAAGTAAAATCTTGTTTATATTGCATGACTTCTTGAAATAAACAACATTGCATGAAGAAAAAAAATATTGAGGGTTATGTTCCTTTAAAAAAACCCAACTGTATATAACATAAATTTAAGTGAGAATTTTAAAGTGTATTATTTATTTTTCAGTGCTAGAATGCTCTTCTTTAACTTTTAAAAATGTCTTGCATTTTTGTAATGATTTCACCTTGCCGTTCTCTGCATTACTTATTTTAACCTTTTTATGTTACTGACTTCAAAGAGATTTTTTGAGCATGTTTAAAGGGCAGTGTCTCTTTATATTAATTTTGGGAGTATACTTCATTTGAACGCCAAAGCAAGAAAAAATTTTCATTCTGTTCTGTCAAAAACAGGGAAGAGAATAGTCTGTCACTAAAAGAAGTTCAATGAACTGTGGAAATTTTTTGTGATAAAAATATTTAATGATTATTACAAAAATAAATGCTTGGACTTTATCTCTGGTCCCGATGAGCCTTAATATTTTGGGTGACGGGGGAGAAGAAAAGAACATGAATTGTATTAATTGTAAAACTCTGTGGGGAAAACTCCCCTAAATATATGTGTGTGCTGAAGTGCATTTGTGTTCTAAATTTTTGAATATCTTATAGGTAAAAAGGAGCAGACATGTCTGGGGGCAAGGGAAGGAGTTAGGGAAATTACTTCTGTCTGTCTCTTTCGTCCAGGCATATCAGATTCCTTTGGTTGTGCTTGATAGCTGCATCAACAACCCTGGATTTGCCTACATACCTTGTTCGGATAGGATGCATCCTGGGGGTGCTTTCAGAGGTCACTAATGCTTTCCTGCAGTGACACCTTCCTTCCTGTCCCCGATGTGTGGTAGACACCAAGAAGCATGTCATAGGGGAATGTTACTGCTGTCAGCAAGAAAATCTTCCTTTTCTTCGTATTTTGTGTTTTCTATATAGTATTCTCACAGTTTGTTATGATGTTCAGATTTGGAAGGAAGGAAACAAAAGTGAATCAAACTTGAGTTTGATTCACTTATAATAGTATGGTGAAAATTGCAGCTGTTATTGCTATGTGTTGGTTGAGAGGCAACGTTAACGTGCTTGCTAAAAATACGGTATGTACACAAGCGGGTAGCCTCTGCTCCTCTCAGAGCTAAAAAACTGAATGTGGATGTGACATGGCAAGGGTATGTTCATCTTCACTGTCCACTTCTCACAAAAATGACTCAAGTAAAAATGGATTACAATTTGAATGCTCTCATATCACCTGTATTTCTGGGTAAAGCTGCTACAATTACTATTTCCCTTTGTACAGTGAGGTGAGGTGTAAACAAAACACAGTCAAGGTTGAGGAAAGACAAAACAGCTAGAGGAGGCAAGTGGGGCAGACACAATGCTCATGCTTCCTGCTGCTGAAATTCTTACAGGAAAGTATACTAGCAAAAAATCCCTTAAATTTTAAAATACAGGTTTTACACACGTTCTGCTTCACACTTGCTGGTTGTAGTTGTAACTGAGCCAAAATGAAAGCGTGGAGTTGGAGTACTAGCAAGTTAGCATATTTGCCAAGTTAGCAGTGTGTTTGAGGCCATTTTAAAGTCTGTGCAGAAGAATAAACACAGTTGAATAGCAGGCTAGTGAAAGTTGTACTTTTCAGAGAACTGTCTGTTTGCTTCTGGGCAGGTTAGTTGAGAATCAGTTTTGCATTTGGAATTCTTGGTATTGCTTAGAGCCACCGCTTTTGAGGTTGGTAACTCTGTGAACTCTATAGACTGCATCTTAAACAAAGCTGTACTCTTTTGGTTTTTTATTTGTAATGAGATTTTATTCCCTGAAAGGTGTAGGTGCTGTTTTTTCACAGTAAGTGTAAATAGAAATGTGTTTTATAATTGTCTAATGCTAAATTCAGTCTTTAATTCTGATCATGAGGACCACTTATCACAAGCTGCTGGTCATCCGAATCCTATAAACCAGAAGAAAATCAGATTTGAACATTGCATTAAGAATTGAAAGTAACTATTTGTCAACTTTATCCATACAGATGGGAGAGCTTCCACCTGACATTTTTGCACCAAACAAGTCTTTTTACGGGATGCAAAAAGGTTTATTTTGATTTTAGACTCTGCATCTACAAGAGAGTGTTGCTAAACTGGACCATCGAGGCTATTCACATATTCTGGCTTTACTCAGTTCTTCCTCCCCTGGCTTCCCAGCCCACTTCCCTTTGCATTTCAGATTCTTTCTAGAGTGCTGACATGGCACTCAGCTGCATTTGGAGCAGAGAGAAGGGAAAGCAAAATTGGAAGGCTTTTAAAGTTTGTGTAGACATGTCACTGGCCTCCAGCAGCATTTGAATTCCAATTTAATTCAGCTCTGTTTGAAGGTAGACTTCAGATAGAGCTGTAGACAACATCCTCAATTTTGCTACAAGTGAGGCTACTCAGTTTCTAGCAGTGGTGATACCGGAAAGCCAGGAACTTGAATGGTATTTTCCCAAATTAATTTTCCTTTTTTTTCCCAACTAGACATTTTCCTTTCATAAAGTCATTCCCTCTTACCATGATTTTAGTTCTGTTTCAATCTCAAATCAAAATGGACACTTACTGAGAAGAGATCGTAAGCAGGTTCTGGTGGAGTCAGTACAGAAGGACTTTCGTATGAGGGGTTGGTGATATCTGAAGGCTGTGACTTGTCCAGTGGTGTTACGTCAGTGTCATCTTTCGACTACACAAAATCACACAAACCTGCTTAAAATCCATCCTTCTCTCACAGTGCGTTAAGCGGGGCACTTAAGCTCCACTACCAGCTGGTGCCATGTTGTGACTGAACTGGCTTTAGCATCTCAAGCAGTGTGTCTGGGCATGAACTGTGTTCTGGGTTGTGGTATTATCTTGGGTTACTTAACACGACTATCTTTTTTTTTTCTCCCTTATTATTTTTTAAGCCTCAGCAAAGATTGGGAGAAGAAGTGTTGCCCTGACATTGTGCTTAGGGTAAAAGGTACTTGGTTGGTCCTGAGTGCTCTCATTGCAACTATAAAAATACAAATGTTTCCCCTGGCTTGTGGCTCCTGTTTTTTCTTTTCTAGAAGACTATTTGCATTGCATGCAGGCATTAGAATAGGAAGGGATTTCGTGATACTTCTAGGTAGACTTCCTTTTGGATTGATTCTTGTGTATTTTGTAACTTTTTTTTTGTCATCCCCTCATCTCTGTATTGCTTGGCTGTTGCTGGCTGGTTTCAGGTCATCGTTACTACGTGAGGCTAGCAAAGTTAGTTGAGAGAAAGCAACCATGAGAGTGCATCGGTATAAAAATTTGCACTTTTCAATCACAACAGTGATATCAGTTTGCTTGTCTTTTAATCTGGCCTTTTTCCTATCACACATTTCAACCTCCAGAGCAGCAAAATTATTATCAGTGCCATGGAGGAGGGGGAAAAGAATGTGTGCCCTTTCAGTGGTTGTAATTACCTGCTTCCGTAAGGGTGAGCTTTCTGGTGAGGCAAAGGCTCCTGCACTGGTGCTGTGCAGTTGAATAAACATTTGGCCAATCCTTAGTGTTGGAAGGGTCTGTGAGAGCAGGAGCCCGTTGGGCACCCTGGAGGGAGAGGTCTGGGGGAGTAGTAGGCAAATGTCAGCTCATGCCCAAGACAAGTGTGTGAGCTTTCCCCACTTTCTCCTTGTCTTAGTCTGAATGGTTCAAGTGGGAAGCTATCGAGAATGTTTCTAGCTTAATAAAATGCAAGAAAAAATTGGAGGCTGTGAGTTTGGGAGGTGTGGTGGGTCTGGGGTAGTGCTGCCCCCTGCTTCACATTTCTGTCTGCTGCCTACCTTGAAGTGCTGGAAGCCTGTGTTTCTTTTCCTGAACCTGAGGTAAGAATATCCAATAAAAGCCACAATTCCAACAATCAGGCAGATGCCAAAGAATATTCCTGTCCCAGCACTGGCATGGAGAGGAGCCTGGAAGCAAGAGAGACAGTGAGTGAGGTACAGGGTAGGCACTGGTCACCTTCCAGCAACCGAACACATGCCGTAACCCTTTGAGATATGCCCTAGTCCCTGAACTGATTTTGTGCTTGAGTTTCCTGGTACATGTTTGCTAGAGACAATTAAATGTGGCCTTTTATAGTAATTGCAATTTAATTTTTTTTCAGGGTACTGTATGCTGGCTGTAGAACAGCTTCATTGTGTTCACGTTTTTGAAGTTACATAGCATGCCTAAGTGATCTTTTCTGGTCAGGTTTTTCAAAGTAGCAATAGAGGCTATGATGAGGCTGAAAGCTCACTGGCCTGAGGAGAAGTGGGCACCATATTCCCTTAAGCAGCCTTGGAAACCTGTGCCACAAACCCTAGAGGGCTCTGTTTGGGTTCAAGCTTATTCCCCGCCGTTTTGTGCGCTGGGGAGGTGTTGGTTACCACCAGCTATCGGCAGCCATATCATCCTCTGCGCCCTGTTACTAGGGCTTAAACCAAACCACATCGGAGATGAGACCCATCTCCTCACCAGTCAGAGGGACTGCCAGCCCCTGTGGAGGGTGTGCAGGGCTGGGCTCTGCCAGTGACCCAACACCTGCCTTCTGTAGGTCATTTTGCCCCAAAATGTGCAATGCCTTTAACCTGAAATCATTCTTCAGCCAGGCAGGTAAAGTGCCAATCCAAGTAACTGTCTATAATATTTTATAAATATTTTAATGAATATGTAGGTGAAGGACTGAAAGAAATTCACACATGATCTGGATTTAATCTAAAGGGGAGAAATGCCTCCAGTCTGTGACTTTGGTTTGCCTTCTGCAGCTCTGTGGCCTGATGGACTGATATCATGAAGGTGACCCACTCTTTTGGGGGGCTGATAAGTTTGAGGGATCCCAGGGCACACAGCCACTCAAGCTGCAGTCTCCCCAAAACACTGTGCTCTTTGCTGGCAATTTAGGAGGTGAAGAGGCATCTGGAAAGCAGGAGGAGGTTCATATGCTCTTATTCTTGCTTTTCCATGTGATGCCCTAGCTCCATGGCCTCCTGCCTAGAAAACTAATTATTAAACTTACCCTAGCAAAAATAATCACATTGCTGTATTGGTAGATATGCTCTCTTATTTTTTTAGAAAAAAAAAAAGTAATATACATGGCGCAGCTGGACAGCTAAATATTAGAAAACAGTTGCCCTCCAGCATGTGGAAGGTATTATCAAGACGGTAATATCGTGCTGCTGTGAACTGACAGAAATTGTCTATTATTTTGAATGATTTTTGGGCAGTAATTTATGTTTTTACCCAAGTGTGTCATTTCCTACTTGTGAGACTTGTAGGCTGCAAGGTATTTCTGTGAACTGAACTTGTGCAGGCATATTACTGAGCTTCTAGGAACAAGAAGGCTGGTTCATAAAGGGGAAAGGGTTGCTCAGAACAAAATGAAGGTGAGACATAGGGTATTGATAAGATTAATCTTGTGGGCCAAGGAGGCAGCTAGTTAGCCACTTCCAAAATCAGAGCTGGGATGGATGGGCAATAAACGTAAGAGAGGCCCCTCCAGCACATGGTCAGAAGGATCAGAATGAGTTACCCTGATGGAAGGGAAGTTCTTCAGATATTTATAAATAAGTGGTGGGCCTTCATGCAAGGTCAGCTTGAGCCTGTGTTGGGCTGTCACAGGGTACCCTGCGTGGAGCAGAGCTGGGGAGCACTAACGCTGCACAGCTGAACCCTTTTACTTCATTAAGGAAAACATTTTGTACTGAAAAAAGGTGCTTGCTGCACACCTCTCCCAGGGGCAGCAGAGATCACTTTTGTGAAACATCCCAGTTGCGTTGCAGGTTAACACAATGTTCTTCCTCCCTTGCATGCAAAGCAGTAAACTTTGGTGGTGGGAAATAAATAGAATGATGTTCCTGCCTCCCTGCTGCTGGGCCGTGTACCATTTTGATTCCAGCTTGAAGCGGTGCAGCTGCTAATTTGATTTACCTCCATGGAAAGGACAGCACTCCTTTCTGAACTCAGCTGTTCTATCATGCACTGTTTGCTTTGGTCTTTCTAATGGGGGAGATAACTGGGTAACTAGGACCATTGCAGCAATTCATGTAGGCAAAAAATATCTATATTCAAAACACCTTGTTGTTTTGGATAGGAATGAATACAAAGCCAAGAGTAAAAAATTTTCCTTAGAAGCTTGAAAGATCTTTTTGGAGGAACTGAAATGGAGCTTTATAAAACTTCCATTACAAAAATGAGCTCTATTATAAAATGGAGCTTTTATTCATATAAAATAAATGTGGGAAGAACTTGTTCAGAAAGAAACATTTTGAACAAGCTTCACTGGCACCTTGTTCTCAACTTCTAATTTTCTTTCAAAGTGACCTTTTAACCTGAAACTGCATCTATGTGATGGAAACTGGTAATATTTGAATGTAAGCAGTGAGTTTGGGATGACAGAAGCCACAGCCACCTCCCATTACCCAAAAAAAAAAAAGTCACTATGTACTTACAGGTGCGGGTGGAGCCTTTAAAGGCTCTGAAATGATGTGGATTATCCCATTGGAAGCGATTATATCCCACTCAACAATAGCACTTCCATCCACGTATCTTATCTCGCTCTGCCAGGAGAAAGAGCAATGAGAGCTGAACTTTGACTCTCCTCCCTTTGAGACCGAAATAAACCTTGCGACTATTTCCCTACTTCAGTTACTGACACACAGAGAAAAAATGCAATGGGGGCTTACACCTCTGCCTCCCTGGACATTAGAAGCAGCCATCACCATTACCTGCATCTTGTCTTCAGGCTTTTTTTTTAAAAAAACAAAAAAACAACAGAAAAGCTTTTTTGTGATGTTTGTGCAATTGCCAAGCACTGCCTAGAAGTGCTGTTACTCCCGAGTGTCAGGCAGCCTGCAGCCTGCCTCCCTTACAGCTGCTTTCTGTGCTGAGGATGCCACTTGCACTGAGTTTGCTGGCTCGAGAGAGCTGGGTCAGCACTGATGCGGAGCCCCTGCAGTTTATTTGGTGGCTGAGCATCTGTGAGCTGGAAGGTGGTCCCATTTGGCAGCTTATCAGGAAAGGAGAGGGATGGGATCAGTCATTGCCACCCCAACACTCCTCTAAACTCTGCTGATAACGGGAGCCCTTGACTGCTTTGTTCAGCTCCCAAGTCCCTCCAGCCTGTGTTCTGGGGCATCAAACTCTGCTTTAAATTGCATCCTAGCAAAATGGTTTCTCTTCAGTGAGCAGAACCAGGAGCTGCTGCCTGCTCTTGCCCCTGGCATGAGGTGGTATGCCACTGCTGGAGCACACTGTGACTTTCTGTGCCCAGGGATGAAGCAGCTCAGCTGTGGTGGCACTGCAGAATGATGTGGGAGTCACCCCATGTCCTCCTCCCTCTCCCTCACCCCTGCCAGGGTCCTGGGGAAAGCTCATGGGCTCTGACCTGGCATGCTGGGACAGGTGGGTGCTTGGCTGCCTGGAGCATGTGTGGAAAGCAGCTGCCACCTCTCCTTCCCACCCGGGCACTCTGCAGAGCATCACTGCAGCCATGGGAACCAGGGGCTTGCTCAGGTCATCCAGGGAGGAAGAAAAGCTACAAATTTCCAACCAGCTTTGAAGGGTAGGAGCATGACTTGTGTTAATGGGCTCAGAGCCTCCCCTTGGCAGCTTTTGAAGAAAGGAAGTATTTTTTTGTTTTTTTAAAGGAGATTCTCTTCTAACTCAAATATCAGATCAAAGTGAGACAAAAGAGCTCCTGGCATGCTAATGAGTAATATAGGTAAGCCTTGTGCTGGTGCATGTGATTTCTCGTGAGGGTATCCTTTATTAAAGTGATTACTGGGTTTGCAGTATAGGACAGTTTTAAAAATACAAACTTGAGTGCATGGTAACTCTCGTGCTAAAGGAGTTTCTCCTGAAAGGGGAAAGAGGAAGGGAGTAAAGGCAACAGATGAGTAATTTGTGCACCTCTTCCTCTCTTCCTGCAGCATCTATCTTCTTCTTGTTGGTGTCTGTGAAAATCTCCCCCTGCAGTTTGCATGTTGGGCAACTTCCCTTGGGTCTAGCACCATCCTCTAGAACATGTTTTTAACCAGCAAGGCCACTGGTGCTGGGTTTCTTATTTTCATATTCAGCTATACCACATCATCCACAGCAAAGTCCCAGCCTTGGTCTCAAGGGGCTGTTGTCACAGAAGTCACCTGAAACCCCTGGGCACCAAGTATTTTCTTAATAAAAAATGAGAAATTGGGTGTGTTTTCAAATGATGTGTTCCCTTAAAGTGCCAGAGGATACTTTCCATTTGCAAAAAAGAATATGAATTTTTGCCTTTTAAAAAAACCCACTGAAATAACAATAAAATGTGCAAACTTATGTTTTGTCTGTTTTTGCTCTGGGCAAGGCTATGCTGGAGTCTCATCTCTTCCAGAAAGCTACCTTTAAAGTTAACTTTACAAATGCCAGCACCTTTCTTTAATGATAAGCTGCTGCTCTCATCTCTGTTCCTGTTGTACTGCTATCTCCCATAATCCTGCCAGGCTGAGAGAAGGGTTGAATCAAGTCCATATCCCCACCCCGCCATTCCTGCAGGCCACCTGAACAGGTTTCCTTGAGTTTTGCAGGTCAGAGATTGGCCATTTCCAAACCTGTGAATTTGCAGTTTGCCAGCTGCTATCCTGCAGTCACTGGGCAGGAAAGAGCCTTCTGAAGTCAGCCTCTCATTGCTGCCCTTACCGAGTTGCTCTCTGCATCAGTGTGTCATCTGATTACAGGGTATAGCATAAGGAGGGGGGAAAGCACAAAAATGAGAGATTTATTAAAAAGGTACCTGTTCAGCAGTGGCGACTTGATGTTCCTGGCCCCTGGTGTTGGTAATGAGGAGTTTTTCCCCAAGACGAGTTGTAAGAGTGGTTCCATTGGTTAAGTCCTCATAAAACATTATGCTGGCATTAGATAAATGATACTCGATGTCTCGCCCAGAAAGTGTCTGCAAATGAAAGCAAAATACGAAGAGCGTAAACTGATCTCACTAATCCTCTGTATTTACCAGTAGGCTAAGTGCCTATGACCTTTTTCCCTCTTTGCTGTTAATGCTGCAGCAAGTACGATATGGGGTAGAGGCACCTGGGAAATCTGGATGCAAACAGAGTGATCTTCTGCCCCTGCTGGCCTCTGATAGCTGCCTGCAGTGGGCAGTACCTTGATTCTGGCAGGACAAAGGATTTTACTCTTTTGTATCAAGACCTGAAGTGATGAGCCTCAGAAATATTCCAAACAGCTTGAAGATGCAAGCCAGGGCATAAACCCATGTGAATTGTTTGAGACAATGTTTGGTGGAAGGAAGGAAGGAAGGAAGGACGGAAAAAAGGGATAAGCATGGACATGAAGCTAGGAACAGATGCCTTTAATATATTTGTGAGAAATACCAAAGCTGTGCACTGCTTTCTTCAAACAACTGTGCTCGGTGCTAATAAGCCAGAACAGACTTCATCTCAGGCAGACTCCTTCATAACTGGGTGACTAAAATCCCTGACAGGAAGACCTCTGTAGTGACTCGAAGGCTCAATAACCCTGCACTCCTAACTGTGGAAGAGAAATGAAAAATGATGAACTCACCTCTTTTAGAAGCACAGTTTAAACTATGTGGGGTTACACAGAAGTCATGTCATACTAAGATTTTTCTTTTTTTTTTAAGCTTAAATTTCACTGGGATACAGAAACCCATAAAGGCTGTTTAAAAAGTGGTATTAAAATGAGGAAATAAAAAAAGAAAAAAACCCTGACCTCATTTTCCTTTAACCCGCTATCGTTTGGAGCAAAAAGAGTGGCATGCACTGACAGGTCTGTGAGGTACCGCAGGAACTCTCTCCCCTTCCGAGACCTGTTGGAGTAAGCCATGATGTCCTAGGCAGAAACAAAAATCCAGCTTTACCAAAGAGCAACTGTGCGCTCCTGTGCGGGGAGCTGAAAAGATGAGACTGTATAAATAATGACAAAGAAGCTTTCTGTTCTTAGCCATGAAACAGCTCTGGAGTGACATTACAAAATAAGTTTGTATTCAAAACCCAGTTTTAGCTGCTGATTTGAGGAACACACCTCAAACTGACTTGCAGGAGTTGAGCCCTTGTTGTCTGTGAGGCTACTTACACGTATAATGCCTTTCTGAGTAGTGCCAAGAAAGGACCTTTTTAATGTTTTGCCTTTCCCCAGCAGCAATTCAATAAAATTACAAAATGCCACTCCTCACGATGCTTAAAAAGCCAGAGGCAGTCGTGAACAGAATCCTCTTTAAGCTAAAGCTGCAGTAGCATTTCATTCCCAAATGAGTTTTAGAAACCCAAAACCTCTTTGGAACAAGTAATTAAAAAAAATAGTAACTAAGATCTGATTTTGCTGGTGCAGACTTAGACCGCTCCACCTTGCTTTGCTGGGGTGGTGGTGTTACCTGGTAGTAAAGCAAACATTGAGACGCAACCCGGTGGCAGAGCCTGCTTTGGTCCGCTCACCCGACTGAGCAGTGTGCCAGCTGTGGGCCCTACCGAAAAGAAGTTTGTCAGCGTTGGGAAGGACATCAGCACTTGCAGCAAGTTCCCGCTGCAGGACGAGCCATCCCCCACGTAGCCAGCCTTGCAGGTGCAGTTCACCTCTGGAAGGTACAAACACAGCTGTGTGGGCAAACGCCCTTTGCTGGAAGGCTTTAGGCTGTCCTGTGCCTGAAAAACAACTTGCAGCCAACAGATTTTTTTTTTTCCTAAAGTTAAAAAGAGGCAGAGTCCCTTGAAGCGTTATCTAGCAGCCTGGGCACAAAGAAACTGAAATCCCTGCAGCTGCTCCCCTCTGCACAGAGGAATGCAGCAAAGGACTCTTACCTTTCTCCCTGTAGCAGAAGACATCCCACATTTCACTCAGGTTGACTCGTCTCCCATAGTCCACGATGCCGACATGCCCAGAGCCGCAGTTTGGGGAGGAGAAGGCAGTTGGGTAGCCCACTCTTTCGCCATCTAGCCAGCCAGCAGCACACAGGTGGTACCTTGCCTGCAGCCAGCACAGCCGTAAGGGAAAAAAACTGGGAAAGAGCTGGGTGGTGGGGCTGGGGCACTGCAGATGAAATGGACCCCAGGGTGCTCAGGCAGCACCCAACCCAACAGAAAGAGGGTCTGAGGGGGCTCTGTCCATCCATCCACCTGCAGCCTGTCCTGGGCTGAGCTCTGGGCTGAGGGGCTGCGGAGGCAGAGCCCCTCTGAAAGTCAGGGGCTCCTCATACAGGCCCAAGGGGGCCTTTCCTGGGAAAAGCTTCCCCGAGCCCAAAGCCGGTCAGCATCAGAGGTGGGTGTGAAAGCCAAAGACTAGGTCATCTAGCCTAGCTCTGGGGATCCCCTCCCGCAGTGAGGTTACCTCACCTTCTGCGCGTACAGCAGCTGGTTGTACGTAGCGATGGTGGCTGACTCATTGGCACAGGCCTCCTTTGCCTTCTCATACGTCATTCTGTACTGCCCCTGTGGGGACCGCAAGTGGAAAACCCCAACCGTGGTATCTGCAAAGAGAGAGAACCAGCTCTTCCTGAGGGGGTTTCCATGGCTGGATGCGGTGTCAATTGTGCCATACAAATACTTGTGAAACATAGTTAGGACAGATTGATCCCATAGGGTTAACATCCCTACCTGGAATACTCTCATCTGTTGTTCCATAAATCTGGTATCGCAAAGTATGTAAGCACACGTTCTGACTTTAATCTTCTGATTGTTTCAAGGGGACATAGGTAGAGGACTGAGTGAGTTTACAGACAGAAGGATCCTGACCACTGACTTCAGTGCAGAGGCACAGGACAAGGATGTCCTTGTCCCCTGGTGTGCATGGTGTGCCATCCTCACCTTGGAAGTGGAGATCGGCACAGTCAGCGTCGGGGTGGCACTGCCCATTGTCTTGCAGGCAGCGGTCAAGAGGAAGCTGCATCACTGAGCAGTTCAGCCCATCTCCAATGTAGTTATTTTTACATTCACACTTGCGTTTGTCCTGGTCAGAAAGAGAATAAAAAAGGCCAAGCCAAGTACTTAGCTGACACTAAAGCGGTATTTCAAGCAACATTCTGAACTGTTGGAAAAATTTCACTTGATAGAGCCAGGAATGGACAAACAGGAAAGTTGCTACTAACAACTGTGATTCAACAGACCACAGACTCTGATGCTGACATTTATTCTTCTAAGCAAAACATTTACACATGCACTTGGGTGCTTTGCTGAATTAATACCAAAGCATAATTCCATCCACAAAGCTAATAACATGTATTGGAGAATTATATGACACATAATTAACAAATCAGATGGGAAACCTATCAAAATTATATTTAAATGACTGGCCATGTGAGCATGAAAGGAATTCAGCAACCCACTGATAGTAATAAATTGAGAACTATAAACCAAGCAGGAGTTGGTGACATGCAGGGATTGTGATGGTTGGCAGCTGGAACAGATTAGTGGCAAGCCTTTTCTAGATACCTCCTGGAAGACACATCAAGCAAGCCATCAAAATGGAACAGACAGGTGATCCCGAAAGCACCAGGACAAATGCTGGATCAAGTCACCGGCACAAGTTTTCCTCAACAACATTAACTGTGTGGGCCAAGGAATTTCTGTCATGTGGCTGCAGAGCTTTTTAAGCTGAAGCCAGCCAGCCAACAAGTGACATGATTCTTCCAGCTGTCCCTAGGTTTAGCTACCAAAATATATTCCATTTCAGTCCAACAAACTCCTATTGCAAATAGATATATGCAGTTAGGGAGTGCTAAGAAGCAGACAGAAAAATTACACGTGGAAAATATCCCATCTGTTGTAGTACCCCTTTCCCCAGAGGAAAGATTTCAAAGTGTTTCTCACCCCTCAGCTGAAAGGATACCAAAGTGATGTGCAAAGTAGGCTGGAGCTATGTAAAGGTTGTTTTGGAAAACAGGGACTTTGAGAGGTACAGGGTGTAATCCAGCCAGTGAAAACACTTCTGCTCGCACCAGGAAGGAATGCCTCAGGCTTCCCTGCTGGTGACTGAAATAATTCAACTTACAGGTCCTATGACAGTGCAAATGGCATGCTCATGGCAGCCTCCGTTGAACCCGTCGGCGCAAGGATTTATTGGAAGGCATGTAAAGCCATCGCCTTTGTATCCTTTCTGGCAGGTACAGAATACTTTCACCCCAAATTGTGTGCATTCGGCTGCCTTGTGGCACCCGCCGTTGTTTTGTTTGCAGAGGTCTGCAGCTGCACGGGGGAAAAGAAAACAGGTGAGTCAAGTCTGCTTTAAAAGAGGATGTTCTTCACAAAGACAAACCACCTCTAGGTTTTGAAGGCACACTAAAAATACTAGAACACTTATTTGGGGGAAAAAACTGTTGGGAGTTTTCTGAGGCATTCCTTAAGTTATGCAAAGGCTATCCTTTAGGGCTCAAGCCCTCATCAGGATATCCTCGATTTAAGAGACATGGGATCACCTCCCAGAGATTCTGCTTTGACTTTTGGCGGCCCAAGAGAGTTCTTTTTTGGAGGCTCTGCTCTGGCCAGAGTGACTTCAGGGGACATGAGACACTTGGCTCAGAAAGAATGACTGTTTCTGCAGTGATGTCACTGGGGAACTGCCTTGCCTAAGGTCATCAAAGAAAATCCTGTGAGTGAAACACTGCGGAAAACCTTGCTGTCTCCAGAACCTGACTGAAGTGCACTACTCAAAGGGGGCCTATAGGAGAGATGGGGAGGCACTCTTTATCAGGGAGTGTAGTGATAGGATGAGGGGTAATGGTTTTAAGCTGAAAGAGGGTAGATCTAGATCAGATATTAGGATGACATTTTTTACTGTGAGGGTGGTGAGGCACTGGAACAGGTTGCCCAGAGAAGCTGTGGATGCCCCATCCCTGGAGGTGTTCAAGGCCAGGCTGGGTGAGTGGAACGTGTCCCTGCTCATGCCAGGGGGGTTGGAACTAGATGATCTCTAAGGTCCCTTCCAACCCAAACCATTCTATGATTCTATGATTCCTGTTTATACTCCTGCTCAGTAAAGCCTGGTGAAGCCAGGCACTTTCTTCAGAAAAAAATGGATCATTACATACCCTAAATTAGTTTAACTTTCTGTACTGTGGAAGCTTTTTAGTTTGATAGCCAACATTTCATGCCAGACAGTAACTGCAGGCAAGTGCATGTGCAAGAGTGGAGAACCTGTTTTCTTGTAGCAGGCTGTGAAAGAGGGTGCTCACCTGTGCATGTGATCCCATCCCCATTGTAAAACGGCTTGCACTGACACGTGTTGTTCTCCGTGCAGATGGCGTTGGCTGAGCAGCTGGGGGAACACACTGGCTGTAGAGCTGTGAGGAAGGCAGAACATCTGGGATGAAGATGCTATTTATATTATAATGCCCTTGTTTCATGCATAAATAAAAGCCCTCATACCAGTTTTGCTAACTGGAAAACCTGTAAGAATTTTTCTTTGACTGCTCAGGTTTCAGGTGATACCTTCCCTCACGTAGCCCAAAGCCCCTCCACAGGGGAGGTAAATACTATATTCCCATTTCACAAAGGAGGAGACAGGGAGGTAAAGGGATATGTTCAGGGTCCAGAGTAGCATCCCTCAGCCTCCAGTGAGGGCTTCTGCTGTTATTAACCCTTTCTCTCTCTTCTCTATGCAAACCCTCTGTTGAATTGCAAGTGCTATCAACCCATGGCTCCATTTAAGGAGACAGAGACCTAGCTTGGTTTCACACAGCCGGCCAGTCCATCCTGTTTCACAGAAACATCGTCCTGTTCCTGAATATCCTTCGTCACACTGCCCGTTGGTCTTGCATTCACAGGCTGCAAAAGGAACACAGAGAGATCATTTGCAAAGCTGCCTTTAGGTTTTTTTTTCCCTAGAGAAACATCACCAAGGCTGTCAGTTTAGATGCAGTATTATTTAGCAATTATTTAGATAAATTTAACCTCATGTTTTTTCACCACAAGGCTAGTCAAGCAGTGGGCCAGACCATCCAGAGTGGTTATGCAGTTTCCATTCTTGTAGGTTTGCAAACCCCAACAGGACAGACCCTGAACAACCTGGTTTGAACTCAGAGCTGACCCTGCTTTGAGCAGGGGTGGGACTAGAGACTTCCTCAGGTCCCTTCCAACCTGAATTATCCTGTGATCCTATGATTGTATAACTGGCATTCATTCAATGTGCCTCTGAAAATGAAAATGAATATTCATCTGCATTGCGGTAGAGTAGCAAGCTTCTCAAAGAACCGTGGTGGGAAGAAACTAATGGCTGAGCTGAAGATCCAGCCTTATCCTGTCCTAATGTGCAGCAGCTGCTGGTTGTGGTGAAGCCTTTTAGCCAGAGTGAAGTAAGGTGTGCAGAAAGTGTCTTTGGCTGCTGTGTGGCATAAGGTCTCTCTGAGTAAGGAAACCAAATATGAGGTTAGCTACCTTTGCTGTAAAACATAGGTAAACTAGCTGCATTTTTTTTGTTTGTTTTTTAGGTTTTAGATATTTTGATGACTAAAAGCTTCTGAATTCCTTTTGTTCCTTTTGTATATGGGGTGCTACCTCTTGTGGATGGCAAACTGAAGCATGAGTGACTGGTTCAGTCTATAGGTGATGTTTTTTCCCCCCAGTCTTTGGGCTCTGCAATAACTTATATGCTGAGTCCTTCTTGAGGAATTATTGGTGGTTCTCTGTTTTATAATGTAATGAAGTACCATCCTTTCTTGCTTTATTCCTCTTTCTAAAATATTGGTTAAAGATGAAAATGATGTGGGGTTGGGGAAACTGATTCTTTTTTTCTGAAAATGAGTTTCACTCTCTGGTTATCTAATTTTTGGCTGACATAAACATGCATTAAAGAGAAGGGGCTATAAAGCATTTTTTCTGTTAAATACTACAATCTGGGTCAGACTGCCAGCTTACGCAGTTTATGCTGCGTTGTGCTATAAAATTGATAAATTGCAGGTAAGCATATTCTTGAGCATTGGTGTCCAAGCCCAGGGTCTTGTGTCCACCCCAAGGATATCTAGTTTATAAACCCCACCATATGTGCATCATGAGCATGGCTAGGATGGAAGGGTTAACGTTGCAGCTTCCTGTCTGAAGGCTTTATGTTAGGAAAACATTTAAGTTTAAATAGTTATATTGATCATGGTTCCACCTAGCTTACATTTAAAACCACAGCAAAATGGATTATGTGAGCAGTTTCTGAGCTGCTGTCCCTCTTCACAGACTGTGTTCATCTTAGTGTCCTTTTACTTCTCTTCCGCAAAAGCAGTATGTGGCCTTGGTCTCCTGCAATCCTTGAGGACTCGCACTGCTAAAATGCTATCCTGCAGCATTTGCTGCAATGGGGATGGGGGAGAAGGCTGTGCTGTAGTTGACGGATGCTTTGTCTCCATTCCCTGTTACCTATGTACTCTATAAGAATAGGAGGAATCTTGCAGAGAAACCTAAGTAAGCCTCTGCCTTCTCCCCCTCCCTTCTGAGACCCTGTGCCACCCATCCCTGTGAAGAGGCACTCGGGAAAAATGTTGGTGTTGAAAGGGGGAAGCGTTTCTTGGTTTACATAACCCATCACTGACAAAATCATTTAGGTGTGACATGGGCAACAGCATGGAAAGGAAACTTGATCTTACGCCTGCAGCTGGAGCCATATCTGCCTGGCAAGCACAGCTCACACGAAGTCCCATTGAAGCCGCTGTTGCAGTGGCACTCTCCTGTCCCAGTGTAGCCGTCGTCACAGGAGCCGTGGTTATTGCAGGGGCTCTCTGGGCCCCCTGGGCAAGCTGAAAGGTTTTAAAAAAAAAAAAAAAAAAAAAGGCTGTTTAGCTCAAGTGAATGTTCATTGTCACTGTTCATTATTCATTGCTCTGTAAGGATCCTTGAACAGGGAAAGACCTGTAAATGCATCTTTGTTGGGACATGTAAAAGAAGCTGCGACACTTGCAACTGCAAGCCTCATACTGCAGATTCCTGGACACACTTTTACAGCTCCTGTCAGAACAGTATTGTGGACTCTTCTGGCTCTTGGTCTGGCTGCTGTTACCTGGGTACCTTGCTCATTCAGACCCATCTGTGAATAGCACTGCCCAGCCCCTGCCCAAATCCAGCCTTGCTTGTGCACCCCCATGTGCCTGTGTGCTGCTGGGGTGAGTCTAAAGGGCAGCTGAGGCTGGGCTGGCCAAAATTGCTCAGGACCCCTCTGTATCTGTTTGTGAAATCCAGAGAACAGAGTGGGCTGGCAGGGCTATGTGTCCCTGGACCTGTCTGCCAGCAGAAATCCTAACCTGGATCCTGACCCTATGTACCCTGGTGAGAGCCTCAGTGCTGTTCCCATGGGGCTGGCAGGTGAAGGAGCATGCAGTTCATTAGTGTCTGCTAACAACCAGCTGGAGATACAGGTTCTCAAACTGTCTCACATCTGGTAAAGCTACAATTTCTGAGCTCACACCAGTGGTGTGCTTGCAGGTGGCTGAGGAATTGTACACTCTATCTCTGGTGTGTCCTGGTATTGCTGCCACAAAGATGATGTCTGGTTTTGTGTTGAAAGGACTTTCAACTGGTGACTGATTTAGACTCTCTAGGTTTGGTTACAGCAGAGCAGTCTTTAGTCTCTACAGCATTCACTTAGTTTGCTACTACCATGGAATTTACATCTTGCTGTAAATGTGAAGAAGAGATTATATGGAGTGGAAAAGCAATAATGCTTTCTGTGTACTTCAGCTCTTGCAACAGAGTTCCCCCATCTTGCGGATGGTCTCTCCTCGTGCCCCCTGCCCCAGCTCTCACAGCTCAGCCTGCTGGGTGCCATGTGGTTGTGCTCAGAGAGGCCATAGCTGGTGATGGGGAGGGGGGTCCTACCTTGGCAGTCTGGCCCGAAGTAGCCCTTGCAGCACTTGGGCGTGTGGATGACCATGGAGCAGTTCCTACGGCAGCCGTCCCTTCGCAGCCCGTAGAACTCGTATGTGCACCATTGGATCCCTTCCTGGGCATTGCACATTCCAGCGCATAGAGGGGGAAAAACCACAAGAAGATGAGTGCTATGTGGAGGTTTGGGTTTTTTCCCCTCTTTAAATCACAGTTTCTGATGTACATTGAATCCAAATGTGATGTGTGAAGAGTGCAAGTGTGAGGCCCCCACCTTCTCTTTGAATCCCAACTTGCTAAGCACCATTAATGAGGACAGAGGGGCTGCTCCAAAGTCAACCAAAGCACTTGCTAGAGTGGATGCTGCATGAGACCAACAAGCATCCCCCACCACCAGTGTCTGGTTGTTTGCCCAGGTACAGCTTTTTCCTGGTGGCTTTATGCCATCACTTAATAGTGTGGTTTCACTGTTGAAGGTTCTCTTTTTATTTTTTCAAAGCAGCTTATTCTAGTTTGCTTGTGTGAAGTACAGAGAAGAGCAGGTTAGATTGCTTAAAAGCAAGATTTTAATGTATTACCTTTGGTTTTGTCCCCGGAGGGCATTTAGAATTACTGAAACAGCTAACACAATGTCCCTGTTGTAAAAAATGGAAAAGTAAAAAAAAAAAGTATATTAAAATAATGTCAAAAAAAGGCTATCTGAAAAGATCTTTTATGAGAGCAGCAAATATGAGCAGAGTGTAGGCTTATTATGCTTGAAAAAGATTATAAGAACTCTGGAGAAAGAAGAGAGGAGAATGACAACAAAATAGTTGCATTAATTTAGTGCCATGAAATGCAAGAAATTAGTTCTGATACCAGAATATAAGTTCTAGAAGAAGAAACTTTGCTCTGGATTTAAACAATCAGGGAAAAGACAGTGGATATTCTTCAAACAAATATGGACATGGTCTGCATCAGATCTGGATGTCTAATTTGGAGTAGAGGTAAATGGCTACATCTTGGTAAGCACTGACCAGATCTGAGGAAATTTTATTTCATTTAATAAAATCATGAAACAAAACGTACTTGAGCAGATGGGAAACACCGAAGTGTTGGTTTTATAACTGAAATATAAATTCTAATTAGCTTTTTTAAGACTGAGTACCTGAATTTTTTTTATTTTTTTACTTCTTTAGTTCTTTTTCATACATTTGAATTAAACTGAAGTAAATATGGTCTTAAAACCATTTGAAAATGGCTTTCAAAACTTCTTGTTTGTGGGACACATCAAAGTTCATGGACAAAACTTCCTCCATGCTGACAGTGCCTGTTCAGGTGTGCTAAAGGATATTTCTGTGAAAGCAAGAAATGTGAGAGACTGAGAGCCTGGAGGTAGCTCTCTATCTCATGTCCTTTATACCCTGTGCAGTTGGGACAGCAGTGCTGTACCTTTGTAATTGGGAACTTTGTAAATACAGTCTCTCTCACCAAATTCATAGTGAAAATATCTATAAATTTAAAAGCATGCTGGGAAAATACATCTTTGCTCATATTCGTCCTTGGATTTGTAAGGTGCAGTTCTGGTCTGAACAAAATTACTGAAAACAGGTCAGGGCTTGCTAAGCTGCTCTTAACTGAGACCATTTATCCTGTGTGTTGCTTAGTGTGGATGCGGGATTTCTGTTGCATACCTTTAAGGCATTTTACTGCACTTCTTAACCTCAGCTCTAACCAGTGTGGCAGATGAAGCCACTCTGAAGTGGTGGGACTTAATCTCAGTAGTGCCAAAGCTGCTGCAAGTTGCCCTGGTCTCTGAGGACAGAGTTTGGCCCTTGGGCTGTGTCTTTGCCAGAGTGGGGGATCAAAAAAGGGGACTGACCATGAAATCCATGGTGAAGAAGCTGTCGCAGCGTCCTCCCAGGCTGGGGTCTGTCAGCAGGCAGTCGATGCCGTAGGCAATGCCCCCATCAAACTCCAGCTGCCTCTGCACTATCTTGCACTGTTTGTCGTTCAGGAAAAGCGCGCCCTGAGAGATGGGATGGGGAGAGGGCAGTGTGACAAGTAATGAGCCAGCATTCCTTGGGGCCAGGCTGAATCCAGGTCCTGCATGGGTGTTAGGGATAATCCTGCCTTTGCTCTAAACCAATCTGGGGACCTCTCTTCCTATAGCTGAAAGCTATAACATCACAGATGGGTAAATTTTTTTCCTTTCCTGAAGGTGACAGAGCATGCCAACTCAATGTCCACAAGTTTACCTTATGCATATTTAGGTTTAGCTGTGTTTTCAGAGGCAGATGCTTGCCAGGGATTATGTGGGTACGATCCGGTACATTTGCAAAGAAAAACGTGCCATTGTTCTGGTTTAACAGGCTGTGTGCATGCCTGCAATCTTAGTTTGTAAGTGCTTACAAACCAGAGCTTGCATGCAGATGCTACATTCATGGGGCTTCTGCCAAAGCCAGATTTATCTTAATAGTTTTCCATTCAGTATTTCATTGTAGGAGAAGTTAAAATTTGCTGGTATTTCAGTTTTTAGGTAACCGAGAGCTGTTTTGAACAAATAGTGTCTTACAACAGAGAAAATGGCAGCTCCAAAGAGTCTTACAAAGCATGTAGTCTGCTGAATCTGTTGGAGTGGCTTCCCTGGTATTGTGGCTGTTGGCATGGACTGGCAAAGATCAACTGAGTTTTGATGCCACTGACCCTTTCTGGGGGCTGTGCACAGGCACAGTGCATTCTGCATGAGCAGATCCTGCAGCAGGGGCGAGGGGTAAATGTGCTGGGAGGGTGAACACTTACAATCTCCCCATTATCTCCACAGCTGACGCTGAGGTTGGAGCCTTGCAGGGTCTTCAGTGAGGTGGAGCGGGGCAGCTGGTAGGCCAACACCTGAGAAGGAGAGAGGTGAGATGCATGTGTCTGGGCTTCTATGTTAGGCCTTGGCAATGCTCCTAAAAAGCAAGGGCTTACCGCAGCGTCACGGACAATGTGGAATTTGAGGTACTGCACCAGTTTGTCTGTGTTGGACTTCTTGAAGAGGAAGTCCTGCTGCTCCTGTGGCAGCCCACGGATAGCTGTGTCTGTGGGCCAGAAGAGCGTGACGGGTTTGTGAATAGGATCGTTGATCAGCCCAAGCAGGTTGTTTTTCTGCAACGTAACAAAAATTGAGGTGGAGGACATTGTCATGGTGACATTGACCCCATGGGGTGATTGTCTGGTGTAACTGGGATGCAGTGGCTTGTGGGCTGCCTGGTCACCAGCCTGCAAACACCATGACTTTAAAAAAACAGATGCCTGAGTTTAGCTGCCCAAGTTGACTTACATGACTGAATTCTCAGAAGCGCTTCATCACCCAGGGCTGCCCACCAAAAACCAGGCTGATAGCCCAACTTTGGGCTCAAAAAGTCATACTTGGGTCAAACCCTGGCCAAGTAATTTGACATATGGTAGGACAGAGCTGAGTGGGGAGGGGATGCTTGACATCCCCCCCCCTCTGTGGGAGATGGGCCACATGGTGACCAGGGTTGTGTACTGTGCTGTGAGGCCTTTGACTCCACTGAACACCCTCCTGCCAGTGACACCATGTGCCACGTCTGTGCTCTTGGCTCTAAGTATTTAAAACCTTTTCCCAATGGCTGCTGTCTCTTGTGTCCTTACCTCTAGCAAACTGCTGAACAGGATGTATCCATGTTTGGCTGCAACCATTTTAAGGCTTTCCTACAAAGAAAAGCATATTCAGTAATTTATCTAATAAATACATTATATGGGTATTTAAAAAGCAGGTATTGGCTTGCTTTACCCTGTAAGTCACTTTTTGTTATGAAATCAATGCCACTGTAAAAGCCCTGTGCGAATATCCTCTTACACTCTTAGTGTAACTGTAATTCCTGAATGAATTGTAAATATTTAACTTATTAATCAGTGTCAAACGATGTTTGTACAAGGTCTTTTTAGTATCACTGCTTCTTTCATGACTTACATCATTTATATATCTAAAGTAACCATTGAAAAGCCACTGGGTTGAGAACGGCAATAAGCTGCACATACCTTCTTAAGGGGGAAATCCTGCATATGTGATGGGACCAGAATTTGGTTTATGACATGGATCACACCATTTGTGCCAACAGCATCCCTGAGTATAATTTCGGCTTTGTTGTTCAAAACCAGTGAGTTCTGTAAAGGCAACAAGAACAGATTTTCTGTGGAACCTTGAGGGTGGGTGAGGCCAATGCTAAATTTCTTTGATACAGTGAGCCCAGAGTGTCCTTTCTTTGCAGCAAGCAGTAGCTTCAGTTTCAATAAATTGCCCTCTGCTTTTTCAAACTCTCATCATGCTCATAAAGCCAGAGTCTGAGGATAAAATAACTTGTGCCAAAGCAAGGGTTGTATAACTCCTCCCTTTGCATATCAGATAAGTTCTGAACATTTCAGCTGAATGGGCAACCTTCTTTTAATGCTATTTATTTATTTTGTGCATCAGAGGACGAAAGGGAGCCATTCAGGTTTTTAGAAAAAATGGAATGAGAGCAGACTGTTTTATTATCCTGTCTCCTGCCTCTTTATGCTCTGTTACCTGAGAGTAGCTGATGTGTATTTGGTCCCCATGGAGAGAGGTGATGTTGGTGATGGTTGTCATGTCATTGTACAATAGATTGGCACAACCCACCATATGGTACCGGAGGACCTGAGCCATCACTCCTTTAGCCATCCAGTCCTTGACCTGCAGCAGAAGGTGAAAGAGTTGAGAAGCAGTAGAGCAAAGCATCTAAATCCAAAAAACTGATGGGCAGCTCACCAAAATACTTCTGGCCTTCTTACTTACTCGTGGGTCGCTGTTTAGTACATCTGTGCGAGGTACAAACAGAGTGAAAGGGCCAGGGCCTGCAATATCTCTGATAGACAAGGCCTGCCAGATTTAAGAGGACAAAGCAATAATGTGTTAATGTGCATAACATCACACAAAGATGGGGACAACCCTGCTCAGTGGGAAGTGGTGCCTGCGGCCCTATTGCTGTTGCACATTGGGTTCCCTTCCCTGCTGTGCAAGGGTGTGAGAAACTCTTGTATGGTGTGGACTTTCCTTCCCAGCCCCATCTGTCACCACTGCCCATGGGTAGCAAGTGGAAGATTGCGGCTTATAGCCAAGTCTCCTTTTTCTCTGTGACAATGAACAGGAAGAGAAGAGAGGAAGCTCTCGACTGACACTAAGTGTAGGGAGAGTGCAGAAGGGCTGTCCCCTCCTGGACAAGGGAAGATGAATAAACCTTTTCATCTTGAGGTAGTCAAGAGCAGATATATGCATGTGTTTGTACATGCATTTAGCTGATACATGGTTGCTTGTACCTAGGAGCAGATTAGGTACTATTAGAGGGACAAATGGACCTGGGGTATTGCAGGCACTTTGCAATGACCACTGACAAAATAAGAAGAGAGCTCTGCTAAAGTGAGAGGAAGTAATCAAAGCTAGAATCTGAGTCTTTGGACTAGCAGGCCAGTATACAGATCTGTGCTGCCCTGAGGCTTGGGATAAACAGAGAATTACTTCTGCCAGTCTCCAAAAAGCAGTGAGAACTGGCAGTGAGTGCATGCTGGCTGTCTAGCAACACACAGCAGCACGCTGTAACACTTCTGAGGGGCAACTGAAAACAGCATCACAGTTTGGAAATACAGCAGGGGTAGAAGAAGAGTGGTATTTGCACACATCGGGATTCACAAGAGAGGTGCTGGAAGATCTCAGACTGTGAATGGGTGAAAGCTTCTGTTTTATGCCTGGTCTGGGGGACCTTCCTTTCCCTGGGATCTTAGTCTTTATTGTTAATTCTCTAGAGGTTTTAATGACAGTTAATAGTTTAAATTACAGCATCTCTGATATTAGTGGCTGATGATCCAAATCCACTTCCAATTTTTCAATTAAGTTGAAGGATGTTGGTACATGTCAGATTCATGCCTGCTCCCTGCCCCTTTCCTTGAGACAAAAGACACACCCCTCCCCCTCCCCCCCCCCCCCCAAAAAAAAAAAAAAAAAAGGACCTTTTCTTACCTCTAGGTGGAAATAAAACCTAGATGTGTTGGAATCCCTGAGAAGTTCCTGCAATCAAAACCAAGACTGTAACAGTGCTGAAAACATGGGGCAACATCTGTGGAGTACACACAAATGCAGCACTTGGAAAAGAAAGAGAACTTCTGTCTTGGAATAAATGCTGTCCATCTGCATTGCTCCTGTTCTTTTCTTACCTTGATGTATCAAAGGACAGGCTTCTCTGAAATCTAAAAATACCAGTATTAACTCCCTAGTACTGCAGACATAATGATTGTCCATCACTTGGTTTTGGTTGTGCGGTGTGTTTTGGTCTTTTTCTTTTTTTGAGGCAGATGAGGTTACCTTGCATCATCCTGTTCCTATTCCTGGTTTCTTGGATTAGGATTATTTCAGATTCTGGGGTAGATTTACCAATTTGTTCAAGAAAAAAAATTGGCATGTTTCAAAAGACAACCATTTTACTAAATAACTGTCTGAAGAAAAATAAGGTACAGCAAACATGTGGAGCACTTTACCTGGAAGATATTGCCTCGGCACTTAAATCCATCCCCAATGTAGTTATGTTTGCAGGTGCAGGTCCTTTCTGTCAGTTCAGTGTCATTACAGATAGCAAATTCACTGCAGCCTCCATTATTCTTGTAAGATCAAAATTTAAAATATTTAATTCCTTCATTGCCCGGTGTAGAGAACAATACTTTACCACACTTTTCCCCAATGTATATAGCTTAGAAAGACTTCAATCCCAACAGCTTTTTGAAACCAGATCTTACTGGTACTTCTGACATTATATACTTTCTGGCAAACAATAAAGAGAATTTAAGGTTCATAAGAAATAACTCTCCTTTTATGTAGAGGATGTTTTTATTCCCTCCTTATATCCTCAGTTTATGGTGCTATAAGGTTCCAAAGATTTCCAGGCAGGCTTCATTCTGGACCTTGGGGATGAATCTTAGCTGCTCTACCGAGGCAGCATTGATTTACACTGAAGGGAACTATTTATAGCTGTAAATCACTTTTATGGTGCTAGGAGCCTGGATTTCTGGGGGAGCATTACCATAGGACAGTCTACTGTTCTTTGTCTGTCTGATGGCCCAGGCCAGCTGGAATGGGGACCTGCCTTGTGTGCTCTCCTCTAAAACATCTCCTGCCTGCCCCCAGCTGCACTGCCAGAATGACCTACGGCTTGGGGCAGCAATGATGCACCTCACCCACCTGCCTGCCTCCAGGCAGCTCTCTGTGCTAAGGGGAGATGTTCCTCACCCACGAGCAGTGTGCTGGCATTCAGAGCTCTGCCCAGTCAAAAGTGGGTGCTCCCCAGCTGGCACCTCAGCTTGCAAATAAGTTTCTATCTTGGACTTGAAAGCAAATCAGCAAAAACTGAGAAGCCATCTTGTTTTCTTTCCTTGTGCTTGTTTCACAGTGTCCCTTCTGTTGCTGTGGGTCCTTTCCTATGGGCCATGAGTGGGAGCAGAAGCTCCTTTGGGAGCTACCAGTGGGGCCTGACTTGACAGCCCACAGTGAGTCCTGGCTGTAAGTAGCGGGTTTGGGTGCATTTGTGATTTATTTGGCTAGCTTTAGGTGGATTGTTGGCGACCTTGGGCTTATCATAGCTTCCCATGAATCTTTGCTGCACAGAGGTTTGCCAAAATTGAGCCAGATTAGCCTCTGGTCTGCCAGTAACACTTCTCAAGACTATATATTTTTTTATATATATACAATTAGCTGATTGAAGAAAAGTTGCTGGAACAGGGCATAGGAAAAGGCAAAAGTATACAAAATCATAGCAAGCATTAGATCATAACTTTGAGCTCCCCTTCCTCTAGCTTCTGTTTTTGCCCTTGCTCTTTCATCTTTCCAACCTTTCAAGGTTAAAGAAACTCTGCTGACAGGCCAGGCTGGGAGGGTGAGAATTATTGTCACTGTGCTCAGAGCACAAAGGATTGATGTGCACAGGAGAATGGATACGTCCCTGCTGCAGCTTGCCAAGAAGCAAAGCAACGCAGCTGGTGCAGAGGACCATACTGCTTCCAAATATGTGGCTTGCAGTATGTCAGCTAACTCATGTGAAACGAATGTGGCTGATTCTCAGCCTGCAGTGATAAATGAGGGACAAAATGAGGAATGCCATGGGAAGCCCTGCATTACGTGTTGTGGAAGAAAAGAAGGGAAATGATTGGTGTGGTGAATGTTTTTTTTTTTTTTTTTTTTCTTCTTTTAACTTCCCCATCTAGAGAGGCTTCTATTATCCCATCCACCATCTCTCCTCCTCTGTTTCTCTATTTACTAAGCTGCATCTGCTGCAGCTTGTAGTGTTGCTATCCTGTATTACCCATCCACAGGGATGTGTTCGGGATGCAGCCTACGCATGGCCATAGGGGCTATGGGGCTCTGCTCTTTGACTTGCCCCATGGGAGCTCTGCCCTGGGTGAGCTTGAAGGCTGGAACCTCTGCTGGAAACATCTTCTGCAGGGACCCCAGGCTCTTGAGCACCCCTTTGTCCCAATATGGATTTCACAGCAAGGTGAGGACTTGATACTCTGATTAGGCTAGAAAAATTTCAGTCTGAGAAGGGGATGTGTATGCTGACACCTGATCATTTCTCTTGTTCAGTCTGCACAGATGTGGTCCCAAATCACACCAGAGGACTTAATGACAGGAGAACATTAAAAATAAATAGGTGTTTTGGTCTACCATAGACTATTCTCTTTGGTTCCCCATCACCTGGCTCCTAGAACAGCTAGAACTGTCCCCTGAGCAACAACAACCCAAACTGTAGGGGGGTTTTTCTTGTCATTACAGGTAACATGTAGTAGATCACACTTCTCTTTCTTATCATTTGAACCAAGCTTTTTAACTGTCTTGCCTAGAAATTGTTTTTTTTTTAAATAGTAATTGAAATGTTGGTAAGCCCTCTGTGTCCCCAACACAAATTTACATAGTGGCTTTTTATATGAACTCTAGCAATGACAAAAAATTTGCTGAGAAGATAAGCCTTACATTCTACCACTACAGACTAGGGTCTGTTTCTCTAGATCTGATTTGAAGTGTGCTTTTATCAGTGATGAGTCTGGGCCCACTGCATACTTAGTTTCTAAAACAGCAATAGCACTAAAGCATGGATTGAACCAAGCACATTTAAAAATTAGCTAAAGTAACATAAGTTGATTCTGGTCATACCTGTCTTAGTTTTGAATACATACATAATGATTAAAACAAGACCTTAAACACTCTCCTTAAACGGATACTTACTTGTGAACACTGACTGATATATGTGCATTTTTTACCATCTCCAGAGTATCCCTTCAAGCAATTACATACTGCCTGCAAAGCAAAACCAGAACACATGCATAGATGTAAAGATTTTTTTTTCAGCACACTTATATTTAATTTACTTTTTTGCCAGATCATTTCATAGTGATATGGTGTACAATCTATTAAGCTAAAAATACATAATCTCTCCCACAGCAGTTTCCTAGCCAGCATGAGCAACCATAGACTTGAGACTGAGGAATAACAGTTCCCAAGAGGCTCTGTCTGCCCTTTCCCTGCCTATTCACCTCTCATTTCTCCTCTGTAGTCCTGGGCATTTGAAATGACCCCTTTGACATCTGCACATAGTCATCTTGCTGGCAAAACAGGCTAACCCCCTAATTTGTTTCCCTCATTTTATTTGCATAGATTGGTATTCCCCTCTCTTCTCTTCCAGAGAAGGAGACTCCACAACCTCTCTGGGCAGCCTGTTCCAGTGCTCTGTCACCCTCACTGTAAAGAAGTTTTTCCTCATACTCAAGCGGAACCTCCTATGTTCCAGCTTGAACCCATTGCCCCTTGTCCTATCACTAGATGTCACACACTTGCAATTGTGTGCTGATGTTACTAACAGCTTCCCATACAGCAGTAATGCATTTGACGCCTACGTCATGATTATTCTGTTTTGCACTTGCAGTTATCACAAGGATGAAAAGTTAACATGGTTGCAAATGCATGACTTGCCTTCCTTTCCAATTCACTGCTTAATGGTTCTCAATTTAGAATGCACATGTAAATGTGAGAGATTGAAAATTCAAGGAGATTTTTCCAACAGAAATAAAACTGCTAGGCAGTGTAATAGCAGTGTTTTATGTACCTCACAGAATCACAGAATGTTAGAGATTGGAAGGGACCTCGAAAGATCATCTAGTCCAATCCCCCTGCCGGAGCAGGAACACCTGTATGACTGAAAGCCCTACAGAAAGAAGGCACATTCCTGTCCTGTAAGTCTGGCTCTGCAGTGCTGGGATTTTGTAGTGGAGGCTATTATTGCTCAGATATGAACTATAGTTTAATGGGTAAGGAAGAGAGTCCAGAGGAGAGCCACGAAATTGGTCAGAGGGCTGGAGCACCTCCCCTATGAGGACAGGCTGAGAGAACTGGGGTTGTTCAGCCTGGAGAAAATAAGGCTCCGAGGAGAGTTAATAGCAGCCTTCCAGTACCTGAAGGGGGCCTACAGGAGAGATGGGGAGGCACTCTTGATCAGGGAGTGTAGTGAGAGGACAAGGGGTAATGGGTATAAGCTGAAACAGGGTAGATTTAGACTAGACATTAGGAAGAAATTTCTATACAAGAACTATGACTCAGGCCATTTTATTTCCTTGTGAATACCTTTGAGCTATGCTGGGAGAAGGGCTAGGCTGAAATAGAATTTTTCCATGGTTGGTTTCTATAACAGTGAAAGAAACATTATCTGGCAATACTTTCAAGCTGACAAGTTTTCACATCAAAACCTCCCAAAGGAGAGAAACAAGTGCTTGAAATAGCAAAACACTGCTTTCCTCTGCAGTTTTGGATTTTTTTTCACTGAAATTAATTTTTTCATGTTTGTCCATGCTCCCCCTCAAATACCTTTTTGAGGGAAGCATATACTTTTCAGATCTTTTGTTATGAAATCCACTTTTCCATTTAAAAACAAAGTCGAGAGTAGGAAATCTTTCTTTGCCCAACTGTAAATGGTTCACTGTCTTATTTATCTACACTGACAAAGTACTCACTTGATTGGGTCCAGTCTGTGTGCATTCTGCATTTCTATCGCATCCACCATTGCTCTCCAGACAAGGGTTGATTTCTTTATGAAACAGAAATAGTATAATTAAAAAAGAGTGACTTCTGAAAACCCAAAAAGGGAGAATTTTAAGTAAAGCATGCTAGGAATGCAGATTTATGACAACTGTGAATCAGTGAAACTAATTTTCTTAGCTACTGAATACCTCCGTCTAAGTCTTGCAGTTGTCTTGCTGGAGGCTAAAACCCTGCCATCAGTATTTCTAAAATCATACCTGGGGAGGCACGGCACAACAGTGTCTAAAAGTCTTTAAGTTTGCAACCGTCAGAGAAGCTGCTGAAGATGGGCCTCTCCTTGTTAGGAAGCAGATCTTTTTTATTAAGCTTTGCTGTCACACCACACTGCTGTAGTTGCGTGGTTTGCCAAGTACTATTAACCACTTGGCAGGTAGAGATACCTTTGGCATCAAGGTCTATACTATCAGGAAACTGCACTTCTGGGTCACAGTGGAAGAAGCATCTTCCATCTATAGGAAAATCCACTCCTGTAATTTTCCTCCATGTGATACACAAGACACTGCAAATGCTTACCGATACAGACTATTCCATCTCCAGTGTACCCAGCATTGCAGATGCACACTCTGTTGCCAGGCGTTGTTCTTCTGCATTCTGCCTTGGCAGAACAGCCACCATTGCTGGTCTCGCAAGCATCAATAGCTGAGCAGTGACAATGAAACCCAGATTAAGCCAATGTGCTTTACTGGCTTTTTGCTTTTCAGGTTAAGCTCTCTCTATGTTTTAAAGGGATTTGCTAACTTTTTCTGAACACAGAATCTTTTTGATTTAAGAGGCCATAGACTTAATTGGTGACAGATATTTAATACATCTTATTGGTTACAAGAGGGAAAGCTGAGAGCATGCTTCTACTCTGGAAGATTCATCCAGGACTGACTTTCAGTAACTTCCCATCTTCCGATTCTGCCTATTCCAACCAAGCACCAAAAAAGGGACCTTCATGTTCTTCTCTAGATTAAATGGCCATTTGAATCTTTCCCTTAGCTTGCCTTTTTCTGCACACAGACCATATACCTTCTCCTGCAGGAGGTCTAGAATGTAATACCACCCAGCCCTCCTGTGACAAAAAGTCCTGGTTGTTATTGAGATGGATACTCCTGCAGTTTCTCCAACTCTGGATGAGTCAGAGGCTTGCAAACTGAATTTGCTTGGGTTGCCCTGAGAGCAGGGAGGGAGCCCTTTCTGATCTTCACTGTGAATCAAATCAGCCCAAACATTGCTTTGGTTTTTGCCTCATATGATAACAAATTGTTGTTTCAGCAGCCATAGCAGCCAGACCAGGGATATGACTTGTCCTGTAACTGGTTTTGCCCAGGAATCCTGTGTAGGGGAATACGGGTGAGTGCAGAGCCACTATGGGTGACCTGTGTCACCCAGTTCTTCCTGCACTCGGGAATTTCCCACCAGTAGATTAAAATGTATTTGGCTGATTTGTGCCAGAAGAGAAAATGAAAGCAGCCAGAGTAAGAGTGTTAAAATCTTGGATTAGGACCATGCCAGCCATTGTGAGTAGACAAATATGCTTCTGTTCCCAAAAGCACTAGTATTTTAATCAGTTAAGGATTAAGTGAAACAACTGTAAAATTAATGACAATCACTGTAGCCAGAAGCAGTCTATTTTGAAAATCAGTATATCCCAGACTCTTGGAGGGACACCTAGGATAAGATGCTATTGCCCCTTTCTGAGGGTCCCTCAGATCTCTCTGGTCTGAAGAAGTTGATTTTACCACTCCAGAAATCTGTGCAAGTTCAGAAAGCTGAGAGAATGGCAGGGCTAGACAGCTTCCAATAGCTGGAAGTGCTATTGTACTCTGAATCGGCCTCTCTTTGCTGGGCTTTGTTGGGAAAAAGAGTAAAAGTCATAATCCAGGTTTCATTACTGTGCAAACAATGGGGCCTGGGTTGTGCACAGCATGTTCCCTTTTCTCTGGTCTCCCTTAGCACAATGCCTTGCAACTTGGAGATTTTGAGCCCTTTGTTTGCTATGAATCCACACCTGTTGGGCTCTTACTCATTTGGAGCAAACTGGCAGCAATTACTGGGGCATAAGGAAGTGCTCATCTCTCACCAGCTCCACCGTGATCACAGAGTGCTTCAAGCATGTTTTTTTTTCAAAAGAGAAGAAACCGAGTCCACTTGCCTGTGCAGAACGTCCCGTTCCCCTGAAAGCCAGCTGCACACTTGCAATAGGCAGTGCCGTTTGATAGGAGCAGGCAGCTAAAGAAGTAAAAGGAAAGAGATGGCATTTAAAAAAAAAAAAAAAAAAAAGAAAAAAATTACTCAGGTATAGCCCTTCTTTTTCTGTGTTATTCCAAAGGTAACATTGCATAGAAATAACAAGATATTTAACCATACAGTGTGATGTAGTTACAACCATAAAAATGAACATATTCAGACCAAGCTTTCTAAATGTGTTTTGGATGTATTATTTTAAGTACTAAAAATGCATCCTTTGGTCAGCAAGCATCCTATTTTCTCATGCAGAACTCTGGAAGTTGCATGCCTGCTCACCCAAAAACTGTGCACAAATTTTTGTTTCTGTGCGCACAATTTGTTGAGGGATGCAGCAGAACTGATTTGCATGGGTGGGAGCCAGTCGTGTGAGTTCTCTGGGTTCAAGCTTGGGTTTTTTGGACAGTGTGGCCTTCTGTATGCAAGTGTGGGTTTATTGCCCCATGAACTCTGTATAATACAAGAATTGCTCCCTGGTGTTGGGACATCACATCAGAGTCAGCACAACCCCATCCTCACCCCTACTCCTGCCAGAATTGCTCCCTGGTGTTGGGACATCACAGCAGAGTCAGCACAACCCCATCCTCCCCCCTACTCCTGCTATGTCTGCACCTATCCTTGTACCTACAGGGGTACAGCAGTGGATGATTAAGGCTCAAAAGAACAGTTGGCTTTTCCTGTCAGAAACACAGTCTTGATGCCAGCATGTGTGGGATCCCCCTGAGCAAGTCTGAGAGTGGAATTTTGCCAAAAAAGTCTGGTAAAATATCACTGCTGTGACCTGCAATTCATAAACACATGGGGAAGACAATGATCTACATCTGGTTTCTCTGCTCCTACAGAAGAGCTGTGGCTGAAAATGAGGAGTCTTTCCAGCCACCTTTCCTTTTTTTTTTTTTTTTTTTTTTTTTTTTTACTGTCTTCAGTAATGTAAATCTTGTTGTCTGGTCTGTGATGGGGGTGGGTGCACTTCAGTAAATGGCTCAATGGGGGTGACTTGCTCCTTTGAAAACTAGTGTGCCAGTATTGGTGCTGGACTGTGGAGAGCATTTTTTTGTGTGTGTATATTTTGATACGAAGAGGAGAGCTGTTTCTTGTCAAAAGCAGCTCTCTTTGGTGAAGTCCCTAGTGCTGATGGCATTTCTCAGTTGTGTGTGTGTGTGGTGGTAGATGGGGCAAATAGGAGGAGCAAATAAAGCCCACCTCAGAAACCCACCTTTGTGATCAGTCTTGCCCTGACCTCCTGTTCTCTTTAGTGCTGTAGGCTCCATTTCTTTGTATATTGCATTGTAGGATGTCACACATATTTTTCTTTCCTTTTTCTTTCTTTTTCTCCCTTCCCACAAAGTCCCATTTGTTTCCCCCTTTAACATGCACATTTTGAACTTTTTGGCCTTGTCACTGAATATGTTACATTAACATTGCTCCTCATCTCTATGGTGAAAAACATGAGTGTTATCTATGCTGCTGAGAAATCTTCATAAGGAGCAAGACGGACTATTTTTTTGCCTTGCAAGAGATCCCCTTTTTCTCCCCTCTCCTCCAAATAAGAGGATTTCATACATACTTAGCACTGGTATGGCATGAGGCGTTACATGCATTGTCTTTGATTTCTGCAAGAGGAAAAAAAAATGAAACAGGGATCAGAACCTTTTGGGTCAACATCCTTCTAGTTTCCCAGTCTTGTTCCCACCGTGCAGAGCTGGAGTCTGTTCTGAGTTCTGCACCAGACAACTGTGCTCTCAGTCTGAATAGAGACTCCATCTGTATGGATCAGTGGGTACCACTTAAATTCAGTTGTGAGGAAGAGACATGTCAACATTACCAGGAAAACATTTCACCTGTTATCATGTATCTGTTTTTAGTCCGGTGAGTTTTACATGTTATTAATTTAATTATATATGTGTAGGTTTTCTAAAGGAATTGTAATTTCCTCAGATATAGCAACTTTAGCTATAAAATTAATTTCATTACTGTTTTTTCCCTGAGCAAATTTAAAACTGATGTTGAATGCTATTATTAACGTGCTTATACCATTTTTTATTTTATACTATTAAACATAGAGTTCTGAAATAGTTATTGAATACATTTTAATTATGTCTAACTAAAATATAATTTTATTGGATATAGGGGCTGTACTAAACCAACACAAAGTGATTTATTTGCTAATTAAATTTTTATTGTATTAGCAAGAACATAATTTAATACCCAGTTGTATAGCTAAATCGACTTATTGAAGCACCTGAGAGGCTTTTGATCTCAGGATCAAAAGGTGCTGGATAACTCTGCTCTGCAAAACATATAGCCTTAACAAATGGGATATTCTTTTGGGACACATACAGGGTGACACAAATAGAGAATTAGCTAAGTAAAGCATTTAAGTCTCATGAGCAGTATCTCAGCTGTCTCTCTATTGATACGGTAATTAATTGCTATAGCACAGGAATGTCACTTGTATTTCACAGCATGTGGGAAGCTGCTGGATATCTGGTTGTGCACTGGGATCTGGTAGTGCACTGGGATCTGGTAGTGCACTGGGATCTGTCATGGCTGTAGTTCTGGCATTTCCTGAAATGGTTTCTTCTGGCCCCAGAAAAAAAGGAGGGGACACTCACCAGTCTCGCACATCACCCCTCTCCAGCCAACGTCACATTCACAGGAGCCGTCCCCGTCGATCCCACTGCTGCATTTCCCGTGGACACAAGCACACGCTGCAGAGAGAGATGGGAGGAAACCACTGTCCCTGGGCAGGGTAGCAGCATGCACAGCAAGGGAGTGAGGGGAAGGAAGGGCAAGAGGAATGGCCCAGATGTCTTCTGCTGATGGCACCTTCTGATCTAGGCTATTTCAAGAAAGGCGCTGGCTTGTGCCTATTGGCTTCTGCCTACAGAATAAATCTAGAATCAAAATATGCTTCTCTTTCCTCTGTTCCCAAATATTCCCAAATATTCCCCCTTTGATAAATGAGAAAGGAGAACTGGCTTCCTCAGACATGGAAAAAGCTGAGGTACTCAATAAGTGCTTTGCCTCAGTCTTCACTGGCAGTCTGGCTTCTCATGTCTGTCAGGACCCTGAACCTCTAGGTGAAGGTGAGAGAAGCGGAATCCCTCCCACTGTAACAGCAGAACAAGTCCGAGACCGCCTCGTGTCACTGAATGTATACAAGTCTATGGGGCCAGATGATATACATCCCAGGGTTCTGAAAGAGCTGTCTGATGTGGTTGCCGAGCCACTCTCCGTCATATCTGAAAAATCATGGCTGTCGGGCAAAGTCCCCGGTGACTGGAAAAAGGGAAACATTACTCCTATTTTTAAGAAAGGGAGAAAAGAAGACCAGGGGAACTAAAGACTGGTGCGCCTCACCTCTGTGCCTGGGAAGATCATGGAGCAGATCCTCCTTGAAGCCATGTTAAGACAGGCATGAGATCAAGAGGTGATCCAAGACAGCCAACATGGCTTCACCAAAGGCAGATCTTGCCTGACCAATCTGGTGGCCTTCTATGATGGAGTGACAGCATCAGTGGACAAAGGAAGGGTGACGGATGTAATTTACCTGGACTTGTGCAAAGCCTTTGACATGGTCCCTCACCACATCCTCTCTAAATTGGAGAGGTATGGATTTGAACAATGGACTGTTCAATGGATAAAGGATTGGTTGGCTGGTCGCAGCAAAGGGTTGTGGTCAATGGCTCTATGTCTGGATGGAGGCCGGTCACAAGTGGTGTCCCTCAAGGGTCTGTCTTGGGACCGGTGCTCTTCAACATCTTTATCAACGACATAGATGAGGGAATGCTCAGCAAATTAATTTGCAGACAACACCAAGCTGAGTGGTACAGTTGATACAACAGAGGGAAGGGATGCCATCCAGAGGGACCTGGAAAGGCTGGAGAAGTGGGCCCATGAGAACCTAATGAGGTTCAACAAGGCCAAGTGCAAGGTGTTGCACTTGGGCCAGGGCAATCCCAAGTACTTGTATAGACTGGGAGAAGAACTCTTTCAGAGCAGCGCTGCAGAGAAGGACTTGGGGGTTCTGGTGAATGAGAAGCTGGACATGAGCCAGCAGTGTGCGCTTGCAGCCTGGAAGGCCAACTATGTCCTGGGCTGCATTAGAAAAGGGGTGACCAGCAGGGAGAGTGAGGTGATTCTCCCC